TTTTTTATGATAACATTTAACAGTTTTCAATATTTGTTTTTCTAGAAATGCGCATACATATATAAAGTTGTATTTTATTTATATATGAATTTTGCATATTTTTATTAACTATATTTAAAAAAAAAATATTATAAATTAAATTCTAAAAATATTTATAGTCTTGGAAAAAATATTGGTAAATATAAATATAGAGCTAACTAGTGAAAATCAATTTTTTAACAAGATTTAACAGTAAAAACAAACGTTTAATAATAATTCTGTTATAACATTTTTAGGTTAGGTTAACTTGTCTGTTCATATGCATAGTCACCCTAACCTCAATGCATACCATAAGGTTTGTGTTATTGTATTCGTGTGTTTTCTATGCTTATCTTTATCATCATTTTTTTTTTTGTTGCAGTGTACAATCGGTAATATCATTTGGTTCGTTAGTTTAGTTTTCGCTCTTAATCTTTTTTTATAATTTTCTCTATTTTTTCTTTCTGTTTATTCATCTTTATTTGTTTACACTTATTTTTAAATTTAAATTTTCTATATTTTTTATTTGTTTTTGCTTCACTCATACATATATATGTGCCAGTTTTTCTAAGCTTTTAGGTACATTTTTAATTTTTATTATTGTTTATTTTTTTTAATAATACACAACAGTTCGTAAAAACTACACGAGAAGAGTGAAATAAATGAATAAGAAAATTAAATATTTAGGAGAGATTTTTTTCATATCTCACGCTCTCTGTCTCTCCCTCCTCCCTCTTGCTCATAGCATAATAGAAATGTTTCAGCAAGATTTAGCGCAGTACTAATTACATCTGATGATGACGTCATAGTGGCCCACACTGGCATTGGTTCGTTTAATGTCACAAAAAATACTACTTTTTCATATTTACAGCTATTAAGGTTCTCAATTCAATTTATTACCAATTTTATTTTGTTTTAATTATGCTTTCATGTTTTATATATTTTGTTTTTAAATATTTTTTTTTAATATTTTACTTAATTTTTCTTCGTGAATTTTTTGTTATTTACTAATTAAACGTTACATTCATATATTGAACAATTACGCGGATTTCAATAATACCATTCTATAATGAGTGTTTTTTGGTAAAATAATACTTGTTAAATTTTTTCTGCCAATTTTAAATTTTCGAAATTTCCATAATATCCACTAAAAATTTACCAAAAAAAAGCAAATAAAATCTGATTTTGACAAGCTTAAAATATTTATAAATTAATGTTTTTTATTTTGGAAATTCTTATAGCTATTTTCGAATTTTACTCATAAAACTTTTATTATTTACTTTTTTGGATTTAAATTATTTATTTAATTTTTGTTCAATTAAATTTTCTATTTAAATTTTTTTAAATTATATTTTCTATTTGGTTTTTTTTTCATTTGAAATATTTATTTTATTAATTTTTTTATTTATTAATTTTTTTTAGCTTTTTTTCCAAGGTACAACATTTAGGTATATTTACTGCTGATTTTATTGATTTTCTTTTACTTTCCATATGTCATGCCAACTATTTTTCTCTCTATGTGCTTTACTTTGTCTTTCTTCGTTTTTGATCTAGCTTTAACACTACATTTCCTCAACATACATGTTTAATTATCAACATTTTTAAATACTTTTTTTTTGCAAAATAGCTGTATATTAGCTTCGTTGCTAAAATGATATGACTGTGATGTGAAAAAGTTTGCAACAAAAGCTTTCTTGAAAACAATTACACCTTCTCTCATTTGAGAGCTTTTTCATTTTTTTTTTACAATTATTATAAGAAATATAATACTTTCTTTTTTAATATTGAAGACAAATAATTTTTACTATATTTGAAAAACCAAACTATAAACTTTATGTGAAAGCTTCCAGTTTGTAAGCAATCAAGTTTGTTGGCTTTCTAAGCTACCTTGAAGCTTTTTAAGTGAAAGCCGTAATTTAAATCAAGCTGGAAACCTTAAATTTATTGATATTAGCATTTAAAAGCTTTTTATGAAGCTGTAATGTTTACTTGTAAGTGAAATATAATAACAAAACTCAAATCAACTAAAGCTCCTTTTGGAATTCTATCGAATTGTAAGCTAAATATTTTACAAGAAAGTTATTGCTCAAATAGTATTTTTAAAATTTTAACAGCGGCTTAATAAAAGCCATGAAAGCTACACTTTTCAAAAAAAAATCTTTTTCACTAATATTCAAATATTTGGCTAACATAAAAGTTGAATGCATCAAACTTTCATAAAAGTTGAGTTTTTTAACATTACGATAATTTGTGTTATTTTTGATGAAATTTCATAGCAGTCGGTAAATTACCATGGTTATTGAAAACGCTTTCTCTCTCATTTTTCAGTACGAAGTTTTCGTGAAATTTCGGCCTTTGAACTCTGTTGTAAACCGTTATAGAGAACCGACTTAAATAAGCTTCAAAATTTATTACTATATTTGGTATTAATGCTTACGCTTCTGTACTTATTAGGTATAAAATCAAATTAATTATTTTAAAAATAATTAAATAAGCTTCGAAAACAATTAACTATATTTTTTTAAAACATTTAAAAATAATATGTCCGTAAAAATAATATTTTATTCAATTCCTGAGTATTATAACAGCAAAAAAAATGAATAAAAAAAAAAAATTATTTAAATTTAATTAAAATTTATTTAGTAAATACATTTATATTTCTAAAATATTTTCATTTTTCCCTAAACCTTCTGCTAGTCTCCCTTAGCTTTTGTTCAAGCTTGTTGTTTTTTTTACGCTCAATCTGTGCACTTACATAAATACTACCAATAACGCCATTGATGCTAACGTTTGTAGGTATGTATTGCATATGTGGAAGTTTACATATACTTATGTGCTTGTATATATATATATATGATATATAACAATAACTGCTGCTACACTACATTTGTATATTTAAAATATATATATATATAATTTAGCATTTACTTGTAGTTTTATGTGCAAAAAATATATATGTATACGTTTTTTCTTGAATAAATTTATATTGAAAATAAAAAAAAAACAATATTTATGCACTCAATTATGACTTGCAAATAAATATTAAATTGCTTTTTTTTTTAATTTATATATAAATAAATAATTTTATTTTTACTTAAACTGTATTGATTTATTAATTTTGATTTGAACTTAAAAAAAAAAGTATTTTTGAATGTTCCTTAGACTTGCAGGCCATTTTCCAAGATATGTTTCCTGTTATATTATCTATTATTTCTATTCCTTCAATACATTTTTCATTTCTCTCCTCTCTTTCATTTTACTACTCCTATTTTGCATATATCTATATATGTGTTTGTAAGTATTTTTATAGTTTTTTCCATTAACATTATTTATTTGTATTGTTATAAATATTCTTCACTGAGCTGATATATGCATATACATATATATATAGTGTATATGTATATTTTGCTAACACATTGCTGCACATACAAGTTGATTGTTTTTCATTACCATGTTTTCGTTCTGTTTGGGTTAATATCAATAATATAATTTTAATTTTTTTTTTCAGTTAAATATTTTTTTTCTTATTGTTTCAACATAATTTCTTAAATTATATTAAGTATTTTTAGTTTTCATATTTTTATTTTCTATTATCATACATATCTTACTTTTTAAATGTGTATTAATCATATTTTAACTCATTTTAAACTCCTAAAATTTGCAGTTACTTAACTTTTGAACGGTACAGTAAATTTGTTGATTAGAAAAAACACATCTAGAATATCATTTTGCTAATTATTAATGAAATATAAAATTTACTAGTAAATACAATAATACATTTTTTGCTTTTTTCTTGCGATTTCGCTTAATCAATTATCTATTTAACTATAAATTTAACAAAACATATTTAGCGGATAGTTATACGTACATATGTAGGCATGTATTAATGTGTTTTTGTAATGTTGTATGGTTGTTATAGTAGAGAGCAAAATCATATTGGTAACAAAAGTTGTAATTATAATAGTAATGGTATTGGTATTGGTAATGAATGGTATTTGTATTGGTATTGGTACTGGTAATTGTAATGGGAATGGTGTTGACAATGATAATAGTAATGATATTGGTATTGGTTATAGTAATTTTAATGACATTGGTAATGGTATTGGTAATGGTAATGGTATTGGTAATTTTATTGGTATTGATAATGGTAATGGTAATGATATTGGTATTGATGATAGTAATTTTAATGACATTGGCCAATAGCATTGGTGATGATATTGGTAATGTTATTGGTAGAGGTATTGGTATTGGTTGTAGTAATGGTAATGACATTGGTAATGATATTGGTATTGGTAATGGTATTGGCAATGCTATTTGCAAAGATATTGGTGTTGGTAATGGTAACTGCAATTATAATGGTATTGGTTTTGGTTTAATGTAATGATAATGGCGATTATGAAGGTAATTGTAATGGTAATGTAAAAGTATTTGTAATAGTAATGGTAGTAAAGGTAATTCTAATTGTAATGGTAGTGGTAGTGGTAGTTCTGTTGGTAAGAGATTGGAAGTACTAATGGTAATGAACTATTGTAATGGTAATGCAAATGGTATTTAATCGTCACTCTCTACTATAACAATTACTTAATATTACTAATACGGTTCAATTTAATAACAATATTTTTCTTTCAATCTTCATTTGTACTTATATAATTAAATTATAAGTAGTACTGGTACTGAAACTCAAATAACTACAAATATATACATGCAGATATACATACAAATTTAAATGCCAAATTACCTAAAAAATAATATTTCTCTTAAATACTTTATTTGCTTCAGCTTCCTTTCTTCACTGTTCTCTCTCTTTTCGTCCCTCTCTCTCCGCTCCTCCCTCCCTCTTTGCCTTTTCTCTCTCCTTTTTTCTTCTTACTTCTCTATCTTTTCTACTCCCGCCCTATTTTTCTGTCTCTCTCTCTCTTTTTTTTTTTTTTTTTCTTTTCTACTTCCTCTCTTTCTTTTTCTTTTTCTCTTTTTCTCTCATTCTCTTTCTCTTTTCACTTTCCTACTCCTGCTCTTTTCTTCCTTTCTCCCTCTCTCTTTCCCTTATGACCAGTTAGTCGTTCGTGTGTCATCTTGTAAACCCTTTACTGCGCGAAGGGATTATGTGGATTTGCGCCGGGTATATCGAGATTACCGCCCGTGGTCTGATAAGTACCATAGCTATTGCCGGTGCCACCATTTGGATTCATCTCATTCAGACGGGCATTAGACAGAGCACGTGGTATCGGATTACTGGGCACACCATGTGGCGCCAGATGTGAGGTCTCCTCCGCCACCTATAATTTATAGAGTTTATACTTTAAATTTTCTCAGAATACACCACATTTGAGCTCACCTGTCGCGGATCCTCCGTTGGTGGCAGGTCGGAGATGAAGCCCTGGTCTTTGCGATAGAAGTTCACGAAAATGAAGATACCCAAGACCACAAGGCACGACAAGCCGTAACCGCGGAATGTTTTCGTAGTGCCATAGTATGTGACAAACATACCGCCAATGATAGCGCCACAGCCGCGTCCCAAGCCATGATGTATACCCTGCAGTACGCCCTGTGCCGAAGCTCTCAAATGTTTTGGTGTGCTATGCGCAATATACGAACAAGAAGCAGCCCAGACGGCAGCATGTGTAACGCCTTGCATTAACTCGAACGGTAACACCATCCACGGATTGGTCGCATAGGAAATGTACAGGAAGCGCAGCACGTTGCCGATTAAGCCTAAGCACAACACTTTAATGTGACCGATTTTTGCTATGAAGCGAAAGCTGTAAAAGTAAGCGAAAATCTCGGACACGTGGTTAATCACAGAGGCAACACCGAAGAGTGTTGGTGTGCCGCCATAGTCTTGCAAATGCCAGAAGAGGAAGGTGAATATCAGACCAATGCCAAATCCCATGAACCAGGCGACGAAGAGAAACGATATTGTCTTCATATCCTTAAAGTGTGTCAACACAGTCAGCCATTCGGGCATTTCCTTGGTAGTTTGTGCAAACATAGTCGATTGCGCGCCAACCGCAGCTTGAGGAGCCTTACCCACCACCGCCGATCCGCTACCCACCGCCAACGAGGGTAAATTCAATTGTGCAGCCAACTCAGCCATGCTTTCGTCCTCCGCTTGTTTATTAGCAGTGGCAACTGGATTCTCAACCGGTTGCTCGATATCGAGTGGATCGTATTTAAAAGTGATTTTCGAAGCGGAGGCGATGGCACAGGTCATTAAAATCGAAAAGATAGCAAAACATATATTGTAATTCTTCTCCATATGGCCGGCGCCGCAAGGATGATGTGAGAAGCGTGTGGAATGATCGAGCACAATACCGACTACAAACATGGAAATACCCCAGCCAAGTGAGCCGAACATGCGCTGATGACCATATTTGTCCGCATCGTCACCGAGCAATGTGATGACAGCAGAGTCGGCGAGTGTGATGGCTGGAGCGCTAAAGAACTCCCCAATGAGGATGACAAGTAAGAGCAGGAAGAAAGCTTTCTGTATATCCGGCGTACGATACACCATAGACGAAAATATGGGGCTCACATAGTCGCGATGCTGTTTGTCATCGTAATTACTGACGAAGTTGATGTGTATAGGCGAAATTCCGGCATCGATGCGAGGTATCAGCGAACGCTTGCGTCTGAAATGAAACCAAAAAGAGTTGAACTTTGGGTCGGACAGTAGTCTCTGTTTGTGTACTCACCTGCTGTGCGACTGCTCTACTACCTCGCTTGCCGGCATCGTTGCTGTTCCCTCCAAAGCGGCCTGCGTACCAAAGCTGTCAACATTCCCCTTATTCATATCGGTCATATCGTAGGCGGACAAATCTCGCTTGGTTCGCGTCAAAGTCAAAACGAAATCGGTTTCGTTCTTGCGTTCGATGCAATTTACAGCCTCTGGTTTGATGAAGCTTAAAGGCAGCGTAAACAAGATCCAACAGGCGAGTGAGGCCAACAACAACTTCTTGCCTTGACGACAACTAAAAAATTCATATAGCAAAAGTTCATTTGTGTGGCCAAAAAATAATTTAAAGCATCAAAGTACATACCGATCCGCATACGAGCCCCAGAAGGGCGCCGACAAGAATTCCACAAATGGTCGCATGCCAATTAGAATACCACACTGTCCTGGATTCATGCCCATCTGCTTGAAGTAGACACCCATAAGAGGAAAAAGTGAACCGAAAGCGGCAAAAAAGAAGAAATAGAAAGCTTTCACCGGTATGAGCTCGTGTTCAGTGGGACCAAAGAGCATTTCGATGACATCAGCGTGTCCACGAATTTTGTTTGTTGATTCCTTGGCCTCGGGATATCTGTTAACAGAGTATAAACGCAAACTTTCAAACACGAATTTTTTATGACATTTATCTACTCACAGTGTTGGATCCACTTCACCAGTGGCCTCCACATCTACGCGTGGACGTGCTGCCACGCCGTACGGCTGTTGGGGTATGCCACCCATATTTGGCATACCACCACCATAGCCAGCTTGATTATCATAACCGCCACTTTGATCGTAGCCCGTGCCGCTTTGATCATAACCACCGCCAACACCACCTGTTTGATCATAGCCGCCCATCTGTTGGGTATAACCGCCGCCATAAGCGGGTTGTTGTTCATAGCCGCCGCCGCCGCCACCACCTCCAGCGAAAGGATTGGGTGCTCCACCGTACTGAGCCATGTTTACGATTTACTTTACTCTCTTATGTCCACTTTCTGAACTCGCCAAAAGTCGTGGGGTCGCTCTGGGTTTTGTTCTGAACTATTATATTTTCTTATTTAACTTAGTTCAGTTCTACGAAGCTCCTGCTCGTAGATCTCACTGAATCTGCGGCTCTAGCTCCTTTGAACCTTTAATTATTATTTTTTTCTACTATATTTTGTATGCCACTTTTATTATTAGTCATCCCAGAACTCATAGCTGCTTTTATATTAATAAGTCTGAAAAATGTGAAAACGAAATTCATGTAATCCCTTAAAGATAAGCAGATAGCAAAAAGTGGGAGATGCTGGGCTAAAATTGTTCTTGAACTTCTGCACTTAAAGAAGAGACAGTCCCATGGATTCTCTCTAATATACTATGGTCTAGTTCACGCCATATTTCTTTTGCAATCTAATGACCTAAACTTCTTTCAGATCATTATCTTATGAGAGTTGCAGCTCATATCTGACTCAAAGTTCCCTACACAGTTTTCAAAGTCAAACGTCACGCAACCAACACCAACAACCCTGCTACAAAACTTTGCTGCTTCCTTCTTTTTTGACATCATACTTGACTTTGTATCGTTCATTTTTACATTTATTTCTTATCTTCGCTTGACATTTATTTCAATGCTAAAAATGGCGTGCACTTATGTCACGATGATTATTTCAAAATACAATAGCTGACAAATGACATTTGAAAATCTCAAATAGCTGACATCCAATGACGTTGCTTTACTCTCCACAACAATGCGCTCTATCTTCCTCTATGTCTGCTATTGTAAAAGAGAAGGGCAAAAGAACAACACTGTGTGACGCTCTCAAACAAGAACTGCGTTTGACGTGGGCGCCTATTGGTATGCTACAAACCACGAAATTAATTTAGAAGAATATGTATAACGTTTATGCTTCTAGCTTGAATTATTGCTGTATGTTTTGTGTTTGTAAAGGAAGACGCCGAGTAGGCGTGCACTTCGCTATGCAAACAAATTTCTAAAAAAAAAAAAAAAAAAAAAAAATCGAATTTTTATTACTTCACAGCTCATTTTAAGTGAAGCACATACATATTTACACACTTTTCTTGTCACCATTAATGCTCTTTTTTATGTTTACCATTCCATGTTCATTCTAGACGACAGTAGAGGAAGGAAGCACTTACTTTTTATGCACTTGAAAAGTGCTTTATGCTTGCAAATTATTATTCGTCACATACTCACTCGTCATGCGTGCAATAAAATGATTGACGTAAAATGTTCTCGAGATGATGTGAAGAAAAATAGAAGAAGAGACAAATAATAAATCATAATTGTGATAAAAAATTTGATAAAGTTATAGGCATGAAGTGATATAAATCTAATAAATGGAGTAAAATAAAACAAATTAATCTAAATTAAATAATTAAAATATAATAAAGTAGAACAAATAAATAAAACAAGAAATGAAACAAATGAAGATAAAAAAATAAAACTAAAAGTGAAAACGATATTTAATAAATAAATCAATTTAAAACAAATTAAAAAAATTTAGTAAAACATAAAAGACTAAAATGAAAAAACTAAATTTAAAAAAATTGAACTAAAGAATGAAATAAAATTAAATTAAATTAAACTAAATTACTTTAAATCAAATTAAATAAAGCAAAAACAATAAAACAAGTTGAATTAAAGTTTAAAAAAATAACATAAAATAAAGTAAAAATAAATAATATAAAAAAAATAATATAAATAATAATTACAAATAAATAAATAATTATAATGAATAATATAATAAATTGAAATAAAAGAATATCAAAAATTATAAAACGAATTAAAATGAAACAAAAACCAACCTAATTTAAAATACATCATAGAAATAAAATTCAATTATATTAAAATAAAATAAATTCTAACATAATAGAGTTCAATTAAATTACATCAAATTCATTTGAAAAAAATAAAATTGTATTAAATGAAATTAAAATTAAATAGTAAAATAAAAAATAAAATGAAAACTAATAGTGAAGTAAAACATATTGGATCAAAAATACTTAATTTAAATAATATAAAATAAATTTAATTCAAAAAACTTAAAAGTAAACTCAGTTAAATAAACTAAAATTAGGTATATAATTAATTTACTGAAAATTTGTACAACAAGTAAAATAAGCTTAACTAAGCATATTAAAAAATATATATATTGAGTTCATTTAATTTAATTTTATTAAATAAATAAATTAGACCAAAATAAAATCAAATACTATAATAATAATAAAATAAAAATACACTATTATATAACAAAATAAAGCAAGACATGTGAAATATATAACATAAAATACAATTAAACAAAAACAACATAAACTGAAATAAAAGAAAATAAACTAGATTAAATTAAACTAAATTAACATAAAATAAAACTAAAAAATGAGATTAACTAAAGTGAAAATTGTAAATTAAAGTATCAATAAGTTTGCCTACATTTTCATAGCCGAGCACCTTAGTTTACCTTTTATTTTTTCCCTGTTATTTTCATTTATTTATTTGTTTTATTTTATTTTGGCTGCATATGCTTTTTACCTACATTCCATTTTGAACGCATTTCATTTAAATTCTTTATATTTAACCTCTGTATTGCAGTGTTAAGCTCAATATCATATTTCATTTGAGTGTCAGTGTCGCCATTTAACATTTTTCTATGTCAATGCGCATAATACACATACATGTACACATACAAACATACATTTAAATACACGTATGTATGTAGTTGCCTAAGTAAATAATTATATATTTGCATGTGTAAGGTCGCACGCAAATGAATGTGCGTGTATGTATACCGTATGCCAACGGTATTAAAAATATGTAAACACACATACATATGTGTGCATATGCGACATTTGCTCACTGGTGCGCCATAGCTTATATGAGCTATGCTTTTTACTTACTTTCTTTTATCACAATTACCCATATTACTTATACGCCATGCTCATCCATGCAGTCTATGTATATTGCTGGATTGTTTTGATTATTTTATTTTTCATGTTAGGTTTTGCTTAAATTAAGCTTTAATTGAAAATTTTATGCAATCACTTGAGTTTATATATAGCTCGCGCACAGGCATGCATATACTTATATTAAAAAATTTAAAAATGCATTAAGTATAATAAAGTCTTAAAAATAATACTCGGGAATGTAAAAAGTTTTGGTTTTCTGTCATTTATTTTGAAATAAAAATTTTTCACATCGAAAAAGATGCCTTGAAAATATTCTTAAGGAACATTTAAAGCTTTAGTTCTGCAACAAAAACTTTTTTTGTAACAATTCAGTTGCCAAAAAATGAAATAAACCTCATATAATTACACTTTCAATCCATTTTGAATTTTGTCACTTAGCCAGAACCCGCCCTCTATACTACTTCCTACCCCTTTTCTGCAATTTTATTATGTTTCACTGCGATTTTTTCTCTTTTCGCCCAAATTAGGCGCACGAAAATTTTTCTTAAGTATTAGAAACCCAAAAATGTTTTGTAAGCGCACACAAGCATACATACATAGTTGGTAAAATATACTTCCATAAGTACATGTGCCCGTGTGTATATTCTTCGCGTTGAGCGCCGTCAGCACTTATGATTTTTATATAATCTTGCCAATATTGAAAAAGACCCACACTCAATTTGAGTCCTAGGCACTCACAGACAAACACAGAAATAAATATTTCTGCACTTATAAAATTCTGCTGACTTTCAACTTTTTAATAAAAAATTTGTTACAAGAAATTTATAGAAAGGAAATTATAGCCAATTTTTGGTTTGTAAGAAATTCCCATTGGAAGAAAATTTATTTTTTTTTGTTAGTTTTTTCTCTTTATATTTTAGCTTCTAGCATAAGCGAGCTGCTAGTTGAGTCCTTTTTTATAACTTTTCCTTTTTTTTGCAATAAACTATTTAAAGGTCTGCTGACTATTTTAAGGGTGGTGAAAATTTTTTAGTTCTTTTGTTCTTGCGTTTGCATCATCACTTTTTATTCGTCTGCCGTCACTTTTATCCAATCAAATTTTAGACTTAAAATTATCACTATATATTTTTGTTGTTGTTGATATTATTATTGTTGCTGTTGCTTTTCAAGCTTATACTTAGTGATTTTTATAGTTCTCTCTTTAACCACCTTCCAACAAATGTCAATTTAATACCCACATTCAAGGTAGTTTTAATATAATGTGGGAGTGTTGGTACATTTTATATACATACATACGCGTCTGTTGGTGTGTTTGCTGTTTGTATGTATACTTACATGCTTTAGACGAAGATGAAGAAAAGTTTTTGCTACCAATTGCTGCGCGCTGGAAAACGACTTTTCGACTTTAATTTTGCTACTTTCAGTTTGAATAAATACGCTTTTAGTATAACTACTTTGATTATTCGCTAATTTCTATTTAATTCTTTATTTTCTTACACTTTCCCAAAGTATTATGCTTTTTTCGCTCGCCTCGAACACGACGAAGGCCAAACGAGTGCTGTGATATTCGATTTTTTTTTCGTTTCGCTGCTTATCGTTGCCAAAGCACTTTCACCACTTTTCACACGCGCATACATACACACTAGCCTTACTTACTTATATACATTTTTCATGCGAAATTTTTTTCTTATATTTCTTATCTTGTATTATTGTGCACTGTTGTTTTTTATTTTTTGTCAACTTAAAACTATTTTTGAAATGAAAACACTTTTCGTTTTTTTTTCTCTATTCTTTAGTTTAAGCAATAAAATCTATAAGCGCTTATGTTATAAAAGCGCAAGGACGTTTATTTTATATATTTTTTCTACTGTCTTTGCTGCTGCTGCTGCTGCTGCTGCTACTGCTTTTGATACTGTACTACTCTGGCTTTTAGCTATACAGCTATTGGCTTTACCTTTCCGCTCAACTTCTTGTCACGTTCACTGCCTCGCTCAATTTCACCAAGTCCTACTGTCAAATCTAATTTCTTTTACACGCCATTCAGCGTAAGAAAATTTAACATGGCGCACAGCAATTTCTACTTTCCATCAGCATTTCGATTTCCGTTTGCGCTTGAACAGATTTCTTTTCCACTGACACCCCCTGTGCTCTAATGCCATTTGTATGGCTCATCTGAAGTCCTTCATGGCGTATGAGTGCGCGCGCCAAAGCACATTAAATTCAATTCTCAGTTTCCGTTAAATGAATGAGTGTCAGGCAAGCATGTGTGTCAGATACGTATGTACGAGAGAGAGAGAGAGAGAGGCAAGCATGTGTGTCAGATACGTATGTACGAGAGAGAGAGAGAGAGAGTCAGTCGCGACATTTCTCATATAAATACAAAGCAAACTCATTTACAACCGTGTTGAGCTGAGCTCAGCTGTGCTTTGTTAGTTGACAGTTTCCGCGCAATAAAGCATTTATTGAAGTGAGTGATTTGAATGGTTTTAATGTTTCATTTTTACTATGAATAAATGAATCAGATTTCATTTTCATATAGTTTTTCCATGCAGATAACATATATTAATAACCCAATATTTATTTCATTATTGAAATGTGCAGCTGCCGACAAAGTTTCTTGTCATGCGCAATAATTGAATTATCTGATTAGGAATATGGTGGTATTGAAACAGAAGCAAATTAAACTACTGAAAATATATAAATAAANATTAAATAAATCAAAATAAAATAAATTGCAGAACTCAGTTGCCCTGGATACAAAATCACCTATTTGGGCTCTACATGAGAAAGTTGCGATCTTTAAACAAGCTCTCTATTTTGTCCCTCTTCAACTGTCGGTATGGCTCACATACAGCTCGAGGCAATCTATTTTTTCCCCAATAAGTTGCTCATGAGTGCTACCACAATAGGACCTTTTTGACGTGGAACGCCACCTGGTTTTTGTTAACAATGATAAAGTCGTAGCAGAAAAGTACATTCAAGGGGTTCGTGTAAGGCATATTTAGGCATATCGTCCTTCTCTCAAGTCGTTAAAGAACTTCGCTTTAGCACAGATAGTAGCCAAACGTTTATCCAAGAATCACAGGACTCAATGACTGTGGCTTCTTCACTACCAAATTTAGTTTACTCCTTAATATGATCGCTATACGATTTGTCCCAAGAACCTGCAAGTTTTCGTCCTTGTCTCGGACCGCATATTCCGATTGCAAAAAGAAACCAAAATATGTATTCAAGTCCTTGCGTAAACAAACCACCACCGCACATCGTTCAATATAATCACCTTAAATTACGAATAAAAACAAGTGATTTCTATTCCAACATGAAAATTCGAAGGCTCAAGTGCCATCTTTCATCAGCAGGCTGGCGTCAAGTCGTCTCTTGACTCTGCACAAAGCAATAATTGACGTCTGCAGACGCCAATAATGGCGAGACGACGAAAAATTACCACACTTTACAAAATCAAATGAGACAAACAAAATGAGAAAATATTGAAGAGGAAGGAGGAAAAATATTTTTTTTAATATAAAAATAAAAAAATAAAAAAAACTGAAAAGTAATAACAAAAAAGGAATCTAGCAAGTGGAAAGCAACACAAAATTAAAAAGCAAAAGTGAAAGGAAGCCTGAAATGAGTAGAACAAAGGCCTGAGAACTCATTGAAAATGTGTAGCAAATTGCTGTCTACCCAACGCAATCATCATTGTCTTTAACTGTGACTAACGAAACGAACAATGTGTGCTTCTGAGCGTGCGAATAACTGGCGGAGGAGAGCGAACGAGAGTGAGGGTTTATTTGCTGAATAAGAGAAATAATATTCATACAGTTTTTTAAAAATGTGGGGAGAGGTGTATAAGTATAAAAGCGTACTAATCATGAAAGAATATGCAACAAGTAATACTTTAAGTGGCTCAATGGAGCTAAGGTTTTGCATTTAGATTAAAGTAAAATTAATTTAGATATACTGAAGTATTGAGAAAAGTCTTTCTAAAGCAGAGCTGAATAGATAAGGTACAATCTTTTGTAGAAGTGTACAGCTGCTGACGTACGCCGGTGATATTGACATTATTGGCATCAAGAACCGCAGCGTGAGTTCTAATTTCCCCAGACTTGATAAGGAAGCGAAGGATATGGGTATGGTAGTGAACGAGGGTTAGACGAAATATCTCCTGTCGTCACATAAACAGTCATCGCATTACGACTCGGCTTCCACGTCACTGTTGTCTGTCATGACTATGAAATCGTAGATAGAAGAATCCCCCTAGACAACAGATCATACTTTGAACAGACATTGCACACATTTGAAGAGTAAAGCCATCTCTCAATGAACAAAGACCAAATTCCACAAGTGGCTCGTGGTCCATGTCCTGCTATATGGTGCGGAGGCATGAATGATGACAAAATCTGATAATTTGGCATTGGGAGTTTTGGACATAATAGTTTTGCGTAGGATTTATGGTCCTTTGTGCATTGGCAACGGCGAATACCGGAGCCGAAAGAACGATGAGATGTAAGGGATATAAGCGGCCACGGCTTCGTTGACTGGGACAGATGCTCCGGATACATGTATACAAATACTCTAGCTTTAAAAATTTTCGAAACGCTACCCGCCGGTGAAAGCTTTGAGATTCCATTGGAAGGACGAGGTGGAGAAGAACCTGGAGCGTGTTAACAGTGGTAATTCCAGGAAAAGAGAAGACGAAGAATTTCATAGACAATATACAAATATAGGCTTGATTTTAATACGCCAGATGGCGCAAGAATCGACATATTCAATAAATTCAAACAAAAATAAATCATTTAAGACAAGTTTGATCATAAATATAATTTTATTCAAACCAATCAATAAATTAAACAATTTTATGAATTAAAAATGTCTTACAAAACAAAATTAGATACAACAGGAACACCACACCACTTTAAATCCGTACAATACACCACATATAAAGTCTCAACCAAACATGTGTGTGAGACCCACGCCGCCAAAGTAATCACGCTGACCACTCAACGGACCACTAGTCCACTTCGAACCGCTGCCTGTCAGATCAAGGCGGGTATTGCGATCGGGTGAAGACCACAGATTAGCTTTACCAGCCAACTCCACCTGACTGCCAAAGTTCGGTATGGTACTCTTTGTCAAACTAGCGCCATGACCATTGATGTGTGAGTAATCCAGGCCAGCGCCGTTGCGATCGAACTTGAAACCATTAGCCAAAGTATTTTGAGACTTGAAAGCATTTGCATCCAAACTGTGTACGCCATTGTTAAAGAGATTAGCGCTAACGCTCTGTGTGAGTGTGTCGCGTACGCCGGGTGTGTGTGTCTTCGAAATAGCAGCACCCAAGCCGTTGCTATGGTGAAAGAAAGAAACTTGTTATACATATAATATATTGTTTAGTACACCAAACTTCATACTCACTTATTGTAAGCCAACGCACCCCCCGTGGTAACTGGTCCACGGTCGGTGTTGCCCGTCGCAAAAGCGCTGCCGATCAAATTGTGTTTGGAATCACCAATCGCCTTGGCCACATCCAAGCGCGCATCGGCGCCACCACGAGGATTACTCGCCAATGAACCGCCAATACCCACATCACGCGCTACACGCACCAATATGGGACGTGGTGGTGGCCTTGGTGGTGGATAATAGATCAATGGTTGGTAGTGTGGACGTTGTGCCTCTACGCCGGCGTTGAGTGCCAATGCGGCGATAATAGCGAAAACGAAGAGTTTCATGTTTGTTGCTGTACAACGAAATTAACTTGCGAAGCTTTCTCAAACTGTCTGTTGGCGATGTGTCAATCTAACTGATGATCTATTTGGCGCCCAAACTGGTTTTTATACGAAACCATAGCATAGTGCAGCCAAGTTGTTGTTGTGTGTTTGCTCTTTACACTCTTTCTCTTGTCATTGCGTTTGCTCTGCTTGCTCCTCCTATCTTTTTTGCGGGGATTCTTCGTTGGTCGCAAGATCTCTCTCATCTCTTCATATGCATGTACATGTTTGTATTGTCTTGTGTGCTTGTATGTGTGGTTTGCTTGCATATGGTTTTCCAGCAATGAAATTAGTTTCCTTATCAAACTCAAGTTATTGGGATTTACTTTCGGACACACATACAAATATATATATGCATATTTACGAAATAAGATTGGCAGCTACAGCTGCAACCTAAAAATCCCCATTTTGTTAAATGCAATTTTCGTTTGGTTTAACTCAAGTGTGAACTACAAACTTTTCAAACCAATGTTTCTTCGGGCAGATACCGAATTTAAAGCTAAAAAATTTACGGTACATTTTTTGTGCTGAAAATATTCGTATACATACATGTATACATACAACTAATATTATTATTCTTGGCTCAATAATAATAACGGTTTCGGTAACAGGGTCCTTAATTATTTAAGTGTAAAAGCTTTGGTATTGGGGTCTAAGCGAAGACTCAAGCCTCTACACTGATGGTTGTAAATGTACGAGGAGAGAATTTGTAGATGAATATACTGAAAGAAATATCCACTGCGCCCTTCCTCACAAGGAACATCCCTTCACAAACCGATTGTAAGTCTGAGTTGTGCTTGGGATCCCCTACGAAACTCAAAACTATTCACAATGCTTTCTTCTGGGACATGAATGTATTTCTGACTGAAACAAAGCTCCTCTTAAAACATATCATCAGCCATTCGGAGACGGCTTAGTATAAAGTGTAGGTCCCTCCATTTGTTAGAAAAACTTCAAGACGGAAATCCGCAAATTGGAGCAGGAGCTCGGCTAAAAATCGCTTCAGCAATGACAAAGCGCCAATTATATATATAACCGGAGGTGTAAAGGCCTTTGTTCCGTTGATTGGCTGAAGTAAAGACCGATTTAATAATTACCTCCGGTATTTCCAATTCGCAACGAATCTCAATTAGTACAAATACATCAAAGGCAAGCTGCGGTGTATTTAAAAAACAATATATAAAATGGATTATGACTTTGGTTGAGATGAATTCATCTATGCGTTTTGACTACCAGGACAGTGTGAATTCGAAAAAACCTTGAGTTTCGCGCCTTCCCACCATATAATGCCCACTAACTGCTGAAGTTTTGTTCCCGGTCCTGAATTTCTACGGTACATCTTCCTACTTCCACGGCCAACCACGCATTTTGAGGTATTGAGTTAGCGGTCGCTGAGTTGGTTCTATGCATACTTATCCAGAAGCAGACCACTAGTTGACAGAGGAGCTTCCATTTGTAGCGCTATGTCCATCATTAACGAAATGATGGTGTCGCTGTCGTCTGATACCTAATATGAATTTAATTCTGAAATAAGTCAATGTCATGGACAGTTATGACAATTATTCCTTTGGTGCTCACTTTGAGTGATATCAAGGTCGTAATAGCCGATTGGCTTTCAGAGTAAATGTTTTTCTGTCTGTCAGAAACCACACTTCGAAACAGTATATCCACCGCCGTTTTAACAACAGCAATGGTCTGGAAGCCTTTACCCTTCACGTAAGAATAATACAGAAGACTTTCCCACCGACCTTTACATCAAGCTTCGATTCATTCGCCACGAGGTTAAGTGCTTCTTTCCTCCCGTGACTTTTTTACCTTTAGTCTGCGCCTGAAGGGCTTATCAATCATAAATAGGAGCGCCAGCGCCACTTAGTGGATACATTTTATGTATTATTGCCAACATTCCGGATAATAAATACTGGCTTTTCGAATAGCTCGTCCCTTATAGTTCTTAGTAGTACACTGTTAATTTGATCAGTTTTTCGGTCGACTGCTCATAAAAGGTAAACCTAGACTATTAAATACGAGTGATCATAGGGATCCATAAATCTTATAGTGATCATGTCCACTGTTTCCTAGGAAGCCTGCACAGGTTGAAGGTATTTAAATCGAAAATTGTCATTTCTCTTTTCAATATGGAGGCGATATGTTCTGTAGATCTTAAGGTGATCTTCTCCTTCAGTGAGCTCTTTGCAAGATAAGAATTTTGAGTTCTTCTGGTCCGCCGACCTTAAAATGATCTCACGTAACAAAAGCTCTTATTCAACTAAAGTAATTTATTATCCCTTTGGTCCACGTTAAATATGACATAACATAATTCATAATTGAAGCTCAATGAAGTTGGAATGGCGAGAAAAATGTGGGGATCGCAGGTGATATTTTGCCGATTCAGTTCAAACAAAATACCTACTCAGTCTCAGTGCATAACTCAATCAATCGATATTCATACATACATATATCATGTTAAGTATAAACATGCTCATGATTGTTAGTTTCTTCGCTAAAAAGCCCCACTCGCTTTTAACTGATAAGAAAATTAGAAAAAATCCACAATTTTCACCGCTCCCCCTGAGCCAGTTATATGTACTTATATATATTAGAGACAGAAAATGATAATACCTTCATATATGCTTGTATGTATGTACGAGTATGTCTATTTACACGGTTTCCGCATTTCGGGGATCTTCTCCACACAACAGAGAACTCGTTAAATTGAACAGATAAACCAAATGAATTGAGCTGAACTCATATCGATCGATGGGATGTGTATAAATAATCACTGTGACGCTCAGTGGAATATCAGTAAACACACAGCATCCAATTAGCAATCAGCTAGCAAGCCCACTTTTAATTACATTATCAAGCTCACCAACGACATAAACGTGAAACGTAATGAAAATCTTCATCCTAGCATTTGTAGCCATTTTGGCGTTGAGCGCTTACGTAGAGGCGCAACCACAACGTGTACGTGCACAAAATTTAGTCTACTATCCACAACCAACACGCCGTCCACCACGTCCCATATTGGTGCGTGTAGCGCGTGATGTTGGTGTTGGCGGTTCGTTGGCGAGTAATCCTCGTGGTGGCGCCGATGCGCGCTTAGAAGTGGCCAATGCGATTGGTGATCCCAATCACAATTTGATTGGCAGCGCTTTTGCGGCAGGTAACACCGATCGTGGACCAGTTACCACTGGCGGTGCGTTGGCTTACAATAAGTGCGTATGAAGTTTGGTGTACTAAACAATAGATTGTATGTATAACAAGTTTCTTTCACCAACCATAGCAACGGCTTGGGTGCTGCCATTTCGAAGACACACACACCCGGCGTACGCGACACACTCACCCAGAGCGTTAGCGCTAATCTCTTTAACAATGGCGTACACAGCTTGGATGCAAATGCCTTCAAGTCTCAAAACACTTTGGCTAATGGTTTTAAGTTTGATCGCAACGGCGCTGGCCTGGATTACTCACACATCAATGGTCATGGCGCCAGTTTGACAAAGAGTACCATACCGAACTTTGGAAGTCAGGTGGAGTTGGCTGGTAAAGCTAATCTGTGGTCTTCACCCGATCGCAATACCCGCCTTGATCTGACAGGCAGCGGTTCGAAGTGGACTAGTGGTCCGTTGAGTGGTCAGCGTGATTACTTTGGCGGCGTGGGTCTCACACACATGTTTGGCTAGGCGAATGAGTGGAGAAAATATCTTAGTGCAGTGAAGCTCAGGATCTTTATGTTAAAAATTTTAAAATATATATTTATTGAATGAAATTTTAATAAAAAAATTAATTATTTACTTGTATTTTGTTCGTACTCGTTCACTAGCGCAACTTGAGCGTTTACCTTTTTACTGAAATGAAAAGATATTTTCGACAGTCGTAGCTCAGCGTGAAATGCTACTGCTGGTCACAATAAGGAGTTTGAAAGGAAGTAGACATACGAAAGGGACCGACTCCAAGCTTTTATTTAAATATAATAATATTTAAAATAGATCAAATAAAATAAAATAAACTAAAATAAAACAAAGCAAAATAAAATAAAATAAAATAAAATAAAATAAAATAAAATAAAATAAAATAAAATAAAATAAAATAAAATAAAATAAAATAAAATGAAATACAATAAAATAAATTAAAATGAAATTGAAAAGCCATAGAACGACAAGCATAATGAATTGGCCCAGAGAGTTATCGGACTAATCATTTCAGGACATATTGGTACCAATAAAACACTGAGATTTTCGCACAAATTATAATTTTATCAACATCAAGAAACATTTTTTTTCTTAAGAGCTTGCGAATCGATTTCTCTAAATTTTGCATCTGTTCTAGGCCACAATAGTAATTTCGCGGCTTAATCGGCTTACAAAACTTTTCAAAAACAGTGAGATTACGTTCCAAAGTTGAGTTGTTTGAATTTTCAAACATGTTAGAATTGTAAAACAAGTTTGAATGTATTTTTTATTAATGCCTCTTTCAAATTCCTACAGACCTAAAAGTGTCCTGAGTTTTCAAAAATGGTACACCATATTGAAAAAAGAAGTAAAAAGCGATTTGTTCTTAGTTTTTGATAAAATTTCAATTTGATCGAAAACCACAATGAACGGAGATTACAGATTTGTAGTATTTAAGTATTTTATTTATACCAATATACCCTGAATCGATGAGTCCTATACCTTTCTGTGGCCAAATCACTTTGATTATCGCCTTATGACCTTTAAATAAAAATAAATAGAATAAAATAAAATCAAGTAAAATAAAACAAAACCTAATGAAATTATATGAAATTAATTTAAATACAGTAACGTAAAATATAATAAAACAAAACTAAATGAAATAAATATAATTTATTAAAATAAAATAAAATAAAAAAATGGAATAAAAAATTTTCTAAAAATAAAATAAAATTAAAATTAAAAACAGTGACGTAAAATATAAATAAATAATAAAATATATTATAATATATTATTAATTAAAAAAAAATTAATCATAATAAAAGAAAATAAAATGAATATATAAATATAAAGAAAATAAAATTAAAATAAAAACAAAACAAAATAAAATTATACTAAATTAAATTAAATAAAGTTACATAAAATAAAATGAAACAAAATGGAAAAAATTTCTAAGAAAAATAAAATATTATATTAAATTAAATTAAATACAGTAACGTAAAATATAAAAAAAAAAAAAAATAAAATAAATTATATTATATTATTAATTAAAAAAAATTAATCATAATAAAATAAAATGAATGTATAAATATAAAGAAAATAAAATTAAATAAAATCAAATAAAATAAAACAAAACAAAATAAAATCATATTAAATTAATATTAAAGTAAAATAAAACAGAACAAAATAGATTTTTATTAAATTAAATTAATTTAAATACGTAAAATAAAAAAACGAAATTTAATAAAATAAAATATAAATTATTGAAATAAAATAAAATTGAAATAAATTAATTGAAATTAAATAAAACAAAATAGCATTAAATTTAAATAGAACAAAATAAAAAAATTAATAAAAATAAAAATTTTAAATTTAAATAAAATATAGTATAATTCAATAAAATTATAAACACTAAAATAAAATTAAATTATATAACAGTAAGCAAAATAGAGTAAAATAAAACAAAATAAACTTAAATAAAATTAAAAAGTAAATTTGGTAAGGAACACAAGCTAAGACTAAATAAAATTAAATTAAATGAAAATTAGATTAAATAAAATAAGAAACATAAAACAAAATAAAAAAAAAATTAAATTAAAATAAATACTATAATAGATAAATAAAGTTCAATAAATCAAAATAATTAAATGATAAAAATAATATAAAATAAAAAAAAAATTATTGAATTGAAAGTTTAACTAATTAAATTAAAAAAAAAAATTAATTAAATTAAAAATAAAACAAACTAAAATAAAATTGTACAAATATGGAATATTAAATTAAATGAAGTAAAAGATGAGAAGTTAAATTATAAAAAAAAGCTTGTGAAAATTATAAATAAATTCGGGTGAAAAATACTTATTTAGATCGACAGCAGGGATGTTGGCTTTTTAATATATTTTGTCCTTTTTAATCAACATACAATTTGAGTTTTTGTATTGAGCGCTGTATAACTGCTAAAACGATTTTTGGCCGAGCTCCTGCTCTACTTAATGCATTTTCAAGCTTTTCTAAGAAATAGCCGGATCTTACGGCGCCTCCGAAGGACTGATCGATTTTTATGAAGTTTTTTTTTTATTTCATGTCAAAAATGCAGTCTGAGGATCTATTTCAAATTTTCATTTTTTTTCCCAACCCCCAAAAATTAAAAAATTAAATTTTTGTATTGTAATAATTGAATTTTATTTTTCAATACCATTACATCGTTTTAATTTTATATATTTTATCGACATAGTAGTGCTAAATTTTAATAAATAATATTTTATTACATTTTTTCAATGTCTATATATTTACAACCCCTCTACCCGCCTCTTAACCGAACATATGTGTCAAACCCAAGCCCGCACTGAAGTCCTTCTGTCCCCTCAACGGACCACTCAACCACTTCGAGCCGCTGCCAGTGAGATCCAAGCGTGTGTTACGATCTTGTGATGACCACAAGTTAGCTTTACCGCCCAGCTCCAATTGCCTGCCGAAATTCGGAATATTGCTGTGTGTCAAACTGGCGCCATGACCATTGATGTGCGAGTACTCCAAACCAGCGCCATTACGTTCGAATTTGAAACCGTTAGCCAACTTGTTTTGTGATGCAAAAGCATTCGCGTCCACACTGTGCACTCCATTGTTGAAGAGATTGGCATTGACGCTCTGGCTGAAGGTGTCGCGTACACCGGGTATGTGCGTCTTCGAGATGGCGGCGCCCAAGCCGTGGCTTTGGAATAAATGAAAAGATGAATATATTGTAATTAAAATTTCAAATATCCTTAATTAATCCTCACTCACTTATTGTAAGCCAATGCGCCACCGGTCGCTACAGGTCCACCATTTGTATTGCCCGCTGCGAACACTTTGCCAATTACATTGTGATCGGGTGTACCAATACCCTTGGCCAGCTCGAGTCTGGCATCAGCACCGCCATTGGGATTGCTACTCAAAGAGCCACCCAGTGATTGAGGAAACGCTTCGATGAGTGCACCGCTGAAAAGCGTCACTGCGACTATGAGAGTTGCAACGAATTTCATTTTGTCTGTGTCTGTGGATGTTGAAGCGGTGCTGGCTTGCTGTTTGCTAATTGCGTTTTGGATAGAATGTGTTCTCAACTCAAGCGGTTAAGTTGCTTTTATATGCGAAGCTCACTTCGAGGTTCAACGGCGCTTATCTGCAATTGTACTCACTTGCCGCTGGCGCTGAGGGAATCCCATCGCACATCGCTGTGTATCTCCAGCAGCTACAGCTGTGTTTGCCTTCGCGCTATTTCGTGTTCGGTAGAGAGTTCGCTTAATCTTTTCTTACGTATTTTTTGCTTGGGTATTTACAAGTTCATCTTTTTGTCTTTTGTGTACTGTTCATTAAATAAAAATGTCTTATCAATTTTTTGCGCGACAGAGGAAGTTTTAATTGTTATGTTTTTTTTTACAAAAATTACTGAAAACACATTTTTTAGAATTTCATTAGGAAATCTCATAAAACCCCCGAAATAAATTGTATTTTTTAATTTTATCATTACAATACAAGGAAAACAAGAAATCATCCAATAGCATTTGCGGTATGGGCCAATTATTAAAGCATATCTTAAGGGGTTGAACTTGAGTATAGTCTTCTAAAGAAACTATCAGAAGAAGAGTTTATGGAGCGTCGAATAGAAGAAGAAGCTACGCTAAATTAGTTATATAAAGAAGCTGGAGCAGTTTGAAATGTTTTCCTTGTTTTTGCTCTTGTAACGGCTCGCAAATTCTCGTTGAAGGGCAAGTAAGCTAGTCGAAGTCATTCAAGCGATCCAACGGAAAGTCCAGAAGACGAGCTATTCGCGAAGTGTTGGAAGAGTTGGTTTAAGGGGTCTTGCCAAGGGTGTTGCTGCTGTTGTTGTTGAAGCGGTTATTCCAACTCCGCTTAGAGACAGGTTAGTTAGTCTAAGTCACCGAGGTCATCTAGCGGGAGGTCGTGGCAACGAGCTGTTTCGACGCGTTCGGACCAGAGGCAGAGGGGGTTAGATGTGTCGGTTTTAGGTGGCATGAAAGGGGTGATTACTGTCGTGCGGAAACTCCTTACACGCTGGCCATACATTGCTACAATATCAAACCTAAGCTGCGCCGCTATTACGTATGTCTCTCGAGTCACATCGAGCACTTCGTCTGCTATGGGTGAAGATTTGACATATCAAGTGTCGGAGGAAGAGCTCGGCAGGAAATCAGTTCAGCGGGAATTAAATACATATATACATATGTTTGTACATATGTCGGAGTGGATACTGGATGGCTAGGAGTGGAGCCTGCTGCAATATCCAGGCTCGGCCTCAAGCCGATGTTTGCCAAATACTCATGGTCCACCTATCTAACTATATATCATATCTAGCGTTGACGATATTAATGAGGATCCCTTAGTAGTCGATAGTACCACTACGTGATTGACTATATTGGACAGTGCAATGTCACTGAGATTCGTGCGCTAGGTAGATTTTGGTTGCTGTCGCGTTTAGTCAAACGTTGAGACTGCACCTTTTTCAGTTGGTTTCGCTATTTAACGTTCATTCAAAAAAAAAACGTGCAAAATATTTTTAATTATCAGGTGTACAACTTTGCTTCCGCCGTTTTCCGATAGGTGGCGGTACCGGCTGAGGCTGGTTGAAATACATAGATGATAATGCCTTTAAAGTGAGTGTGGACAGTGCCTAACGAATTGTCATCGCCGTGTCAGTAACAGTTGTTCTTGTTTTCGTATTATTCAGCAAGCCATTTCAAAATGTCTCAAGGCCCTGGGCATGATTCAGAAAGAAAGAAACTGGGTGCCGTACGAGTTGAAACCGAGGGACATCGAGCGCCGTCTATGTTTATGTGAGCAACTGCTTCAAAGACAAAATCGTATAGGGTTTTTACATCAAATCGTAACCGGTGATGAAAAGTGGGTTCGATACGATAATCCTAAACGCAGAAAATCATGGGGAAAGCCGAATATTCACGGCGCCTAGCTTATGATTTGTATTTGGTGGGACCAGCTCGGTGTGATTTACTACGAGCTCTTAAAACCGGATGAAACCATCACAGTAGATCGCTACCGAACACAACTGATGCGCCTTAGTCGCGCGCTAAAAGAAAAGCGGCCACAATATCAAGAGCGACATGACAAAGTCATCCTCCAACACGACAATGCTCGGCCTCACGTCGCAAAAGTGGTCAAAAAGTACTTGGAAACGCTGAAATGGGAAATCTTGCCCCACACGCCATATTCACCAGATGTCGCCCCTTCTGACTTCCACCTATTCCGTTCGATGGCACACGGCCTGGCAGATCAACATTTTCAATCATTCAAAGAATTGGAAAAATGGATTGCTTCATGGATAGCGTCAAAAGAGGACTCCTTTTTTCGAGCCGGGATCCGAAAATTGCCGGAAAAATGGGAGAAAGTTGTCGCTAGCGAAGGACAATACTTTGACTAATATATCTGTAAGCACTTTTTCGCAATAAAGCTTTTAATTTTGGAAATAAAAACGGCGGAAGCAAAGTTGTACACCTGATAATTGATTAGTTACAAATATCTGTTTTAAAGGAAGTCATTTTATTGTTTTCCTAACTGTATAATTTCTGTATCGCATATTAATTTAAAAGAAAATAACAAAAACTTATTAAATAAAAAAAAAAACGAAAAATCCTAAGTTATATCGTATTAAAACGTAGAAGGTGATCAAATATTAAATTTATCTCTTTTAATTAAAGTTGCATGTGTATTAATAAGCCAAAAACCTCGTTTGAAATTTAAATTGTTTTCGTTTCGTTTTCTTTTTATTTTATATTTAGTGTTAGTAGCTACAAATGTATGTCCGAATGCCAATTATCTACAGCAAACATTTTAAATTATTTTATTTTTATTAAGTAAATATTGTATATCCTGTTGTTGTTGCGCAACTTGCATACAAAAAAGTTGCAAAAATTTTATACAAATTTTTTACGGTATTTTACGCTATTTCTCTTACTATTTGCGGCTTTTACTACGATCTTTTACCAATCGCGATATACAAAAAAAAAACCGACCGTTAATTAGATTGGTTCAGTGCTGCTGTGTGTACAAAAAACATGGACTGCGAATACAGTTTCTAGCGCAAATATTTCGATATAAATTTAACAGAAAAAGACGTTTCAAATTTATATGTATATAAAAAAAAAAGAAAAATTGTTAAAAATTGTTTCAGTAATTATTTATATGTTAATTAGAAACGTTTTGTTTATCTATGACAATTTCTTGGCTTTTTGATAAAGTGTATCCACCACTTTGCCCATACTATGTATAGTCTCCAATACACGTTCATAGGTCTTATCGACGGGTGCTTCTTCGAAAACGATAAGCACACCTTCACCCTGATCCAAAATGCCACTGAATTTTTTATCAAGAATCATTTGTGACAGCTTCTTTTCCACTTGTGGCATAGGTAATTTAATGCTTTCGGCAACATGGGAAACCTAAGAAATTAGAAAATTTTAATATCCGATTCATTAATTTCTCATGGTTGTCTTATTCTTTGAAATTTAGAAAAAGAAAAAAAAAATGGCTCATTTCACATTAATTCACCTGAACTCGTGAGTAGGGTTCAATGATGCGACATAGATTCTGCTCCAACATAGTGTCATAGAGTGTGCCCAAATGCGCTTTCACAATCACATCCTCTGATAATTCCTTTTTGTACTCCTTCAAAGCATCTTGAAAATCGGCAAGTGAACGTTTATGTGAGGCTTCTGCGACAGCCTTCATGGCATCAATGTCACGTCCCGAATAAGTAATGGCCTACCAATTTAAATGGATAGTAGCAAACATTAGTTATTTAAAATCTTCGTTTCTTTCTCTAAACTTACCAGTTTGCCGCTAACAATTTGATTTACATCCTCGGATTGGCCCAACATAATTTTACACAACAACATGTACTTCAAACCGGTTAAAGCTTTTGCGTTGTCCACACTATCGTAACTCTCGAATGCTTCGTAAAAGTAGGAGAAAGCTGTTTTGAAATCTCTTTCATCTGCGGCATGTAAAATGCCCGATTGTAAATCGAGAGCACCCTGCACCTTCGGTGGACAATATATCGCATTGGCAGTTGTTCTTGCAGATGTGAGTGCGGCCCGTGCTTTAGGTAAATTACTAAGTGCATGATAAGTTTTACTTTCCAACAATTGCACTTCGACCAATAGATTTTTATCGTCCAATTTTTTTAATTCACGCAACAACTGCGAACCTAGTGCCAATGCGTCTGTATATAAACCAGTATCGAAAAAGAGCGCTATAAGACGTGCCTCCAAGGATTGACGTAAAAATGTGCGCTTCTCCTGTTTAGCCCACTCAATGCAGTCTTTACATAATTGCACCTGCAGATGACATTGAATCGATATTCGATATTTATAAATAAATATTTACACACAAAATCATCTATATACCTCTATACCAGTACCAGCATCCATGTCCAAGAACATATCGACTAACGTACGCACCATTTTAGCAGCCTTTGCTTTACTGATCAAACTGAGAAATGGACGCGTCACCTTGATCAAATCGGCCAGTTCTTTAGCTTTGCCCTCTTGTTTGTATAACTCGCCCAACTGCAGGATACCCTGCTCCTTCAAACGAATCAACTCCTCATCGTTCTCAGCTACTTCCTGTTCACGTACAATTTTATTCAACAACGTAATGCCCTCTTCCCGATTTACGCTTGTTAGGGCTTGAGCGCGTTCGAATAACGTTGCTCCGGCCATTTTTCTCTTACTGCAATTAGATTTTCACAAATTTTCCAAAATTAATAACGCTTGCGTATGTTTTTGTTCTCTTCGCTTAGTTGTAGAAAGTACTATATGTTTTAAACACTTTATCCAATAGAAATTTCCCGATGAATTGTCTAAATATCTATGTTAAGAATCAGATGAAAATCAACTTTTAGTTTTTCGCTTTGGTCTGAGTGGCAGAAAAATGACAGTTTCGCCAGTCATGCAAGCAATGCAGCCAACTTTAAATAAAGTACTGCCCATCATGCCTACACATGAGGAATTCTTGAGGAGAAGAAATATTAAATTGGAATTTTTGGTTCTTGATTTAAAGTTTCAAAAAAACCAATAAATACAATAATAGCAATTTTTTTATGTTGCCAAGAGCTATTTTGCTCTCTCAAATTATTCACATGGTTTTCTTAAAATCTATGCATTTGAAATCTCTCAATAGAAAGAACTTGCATCACTGCATTGCATTCGCCGTTTTGTTTTGAGCACTCTTTAATAAATGCATTCACAGAGAACTGTCAAAAAATAGTAATATGTCTTTTTTGCTTTTCTCAACAATTCATGTCCTGAAATCAACTTAGCACAGCAAAATGCAAGCAAAATATCGATAATAACTATAAAACACTTAAAAATCCTTAAAAATACACTATTAATAGCAAGAACAACTTCGATACTTCGTAGCTGAGGAAGCTAATTTCTGCTATGGTTGAGGAAACAGTCCAAAGTAGCCGACCGCGAGTGAAAACTGCTCGACCAAAATCAGTATTTCTTTGGTCTGTAACAGATGTAAGGAAATGGTATATGCGACACTGTGGCGAATACCCGCAATATCTGGAGCTTTTCTCGAAGGTGAGCAAAATTTATTAGCTTTGCAAATCGTTAAGACAAAAAAATCGATTCAACTAATTTTTTTCGAAAAAAAAAGAAAGATGCCTAGTTCTCCTCAGATTGCGCAAAATGCCAACTATTCTTGCACAATCTCATTTCACCAATTTGCTAGTGTCTAGAAAGGGGATCGCCCTCCGGCTTACTTACAACGTTAAAACTTACTTAAATTCTACATTCTGCTGATGAGATATTGCTACTTCGGCGGCCATTGATCGTTTTATTCAACTAACTTTACTTCACTTAACTTTACCAAGAAATCGTTAACATCAAAATAGCACTAAAAACTATAGTTTTCCTTTTCCTTTATCGCAGGCAATATATTTACCAAAGAATTATTAAAAAGAAATAATCTAAATTTTTGAATGTCAAAGTTTACAGCTTGTTTGTGTTGTAGACTATAATGTACAGTAAACATTTTTTAATTTACATACATATTTATTTCAGCACGAAATTACCGGCCGCGCACTACTACGCATCAACGATTATTCATTGCAAAGGATGGGCATAAGTCATAGTGGTGATCGTGAGGCAATTTTCCGTGAGATATTAAAACAACGACTCAAAACTGATATTATGGAAATACGTGATATGGAACGTGAAATCAATACTTATTACAATACAAGATAATTATTTTCAGAATATACTAAGTTTTAGGGAATTATAGGAAATTTACTTAAAAACAACCAAAAAAAAATAAGATTTTAAAATGAGAAAGTTTTTGATACACCATACATACATATGTGAAATGCAGTGAACTTTACTGCGCATACGAACGCACACCAATTTTCTGATAAAAAAAAGGGTAATATAAACATATACATATACGTATACCATTATGCATATTCTTCTCATACATTTTATAAGATAGTTGTACAGATTAGCAGTCATGTTAAATAATATTTTTTAAAAATAATTAAACAGGCTTACGAATTGTCCGTGTTATTCAAAGCGTTTATTGTTTCTCTAGTAAAATCAGAGATAAAAGTAAAATTGTTAAAAATGATTATAGCTCACATGATTTAGTTTTGAAAATCTTATCAAAATTTATATGCAATTTATATTTTATATATCGCTTGTAATACATACATAAATCTTCATTTAATTGATTTATGTAAAAGTAAATATTTGAAAGAAAAATAAAATGCATAAATATTCTCTTTAGGAAAATTAACTAGGAAAACACCATATAGCAATATGTAAACGGTATTAAAAATTATTTGTGCATACATTTGTGTATACTTAATGATTTTACAGCTTATATGTATGCTTGAAAATGTATACAAATATGAATATAAATGTATAAAGTCGTTGACTTTGGTTAAGAGTAGTAGAAAAATTGCACAAAATTATTAATTGTTATGCAGTAAAAGACGAATCATTTTTATTAAACGCATTTTTTTTTTATACATTTTAACAAAATATTTCTCCACTTGATATATATTAAAATTTTTCGCTTTTATATTTTTTTTATCTATTTAAAAAGAAAATAGGTATATATTATTTAAACTTTACGCACCTAACAATTTTAAGCATGTACATATGTGCTAGAAAAAAGTAATAGTTATGCTAACATATGTATACTATATACATACATATATTATAATACTTTAATATATTTTTACCTTTTTTTTACTAATAAATTAATAATACCATTCTGTCATAAATCACTAATCGGGCGTGGCTCGTTGTTAATATTTTTTGGAGACTAGTAATAATATTAATATTTTTTAAAACCTAAAAAAGCAATTACAAAAGTATTAAAATTGCAATTGTTAATAAAAATATTTATAATGTGCAAATATACATAAAAATTATGAAAAATAATTGCTATGCATTTTTAATTTAACTTTGCTGGTGTAACTACATACTTACTACGCAAATATAGACGCTACAAGTGTAACTACTTTAAGGAACGCTACTACTTACTTTACTAGTTTTTTGCATTAATATTGTATTCATCCTAACCTTAAATAATTTAAAAATGTATTTCAGTATTTTTTTTTTTCAAATGTTTTGAGATTTGTAACTTTAGCCTCCGCATTTGAGGATCTTCTACAAAATATTTAGTATACTCCGGCTCCGGTAGTAAAAACAACCGCGCCTAAAATGATGCCCAAGAAGTTAGTTCCAATCGCTCAAAGCAACTAGGAAATCTGTATAGCACAAGTTTCATAAAGCTTGAGTTAAGCACATTTTGGAAATTCATCGTTATTTTATACTAATTTTGTGCCATTTGCAGTCCATACTTTATAGAGTAATATTCTTAATATCTGTTTTTTTTTTCTTAATGTGTACTTCGTTCAACTTTTATTCCGTTTCGCCTGTTTTAACTTGCTTCACTCGTCGTTCTCTACTTTCGGCGTGACCAGCTGGACATCTAAACTCTGCGTGCCACTTACAACCGCTTCAGACACTGGCACGGTCAGTGTGGGCGTCTGCGTTATAACCGCAGTTGGCGCTGGCGCCAATTTGGGCAAAGCGCTTGTCGTCAACTTAGCTGGCGTCAATATTGTGGTGCCGCTTGGTACGCCGGCCACACTGGCCAAACTCGTAGCACCCGGCATGGAGGTGGTAAAGACCAATTTCGGTGGATTCATACGCATTTGTTGTGTGTGCGCTTGCATAGCGGCAGCAACTTGTTGTTGTTGTTGTTGTAGCACTTGTGTCTGCTGTTGTTGCTGCTGCTGTTGTTGGCTGAAGAGTTTGGGCAGTTCGGCAAAGAAGCGCTCAACTGAGTTGCGCTCGAACTCGAAGCGTTCACGCTCGAGCGCCAGCCGCTGGTGCTGGATATCGTTGTTCTCCGTTTGCGCATTGTATATGTGACGCAGGAGTATACGCATGCTGGCTGCCTCCTTGCGTGAAATGAGCTCCTCGCGTCGTTGCTTCTCGTGCAGTAGCTTTTGTTGTCGCTTGTTGGCCGCCCTGGCTTTGGCTTCCTCTTCATTTTTTAGCTTTTGTTGTTGTTGTTGCTGCTGCTGTTGTTGTATTTGCTGCTGTTCTTTCTGCAACTGCTGCGCTTGTGCCTGTGCTTGTTGTTCTTGCTGTTGCTGCTGTTGTAATTGTTGTTGCTTTTGTTGCTGCTGTTGTTGTTGTTGTAGTTGTTGTTGCTGCTGTTGAGCCTGCAATTGCTGTTGCTGCTGTTTTTGTTGTTGCTGCTGCTGTTGCTGCAGTAAAGCAGCACTCAACTGTGGCAGCAAAGTTTTACCCAAAGCCGCGTTGGTTGCGCCTATTTGCGTGGTGGTTTGATCCGCGTTGACTAAAAGTAGCTTCATGCCACCCGGACCGGTTGCTACGAAGCCCGTGCTTGAAGCAGAGGTCTGTACGCCGCCTACGCCCGGTGTGCCGCTGAGCAAAATACGGCCGCCCTGCAATGTGCCGGTGGCATTTAATGCGTTCGGCAACAATTGTATCTGCGGCGGATGGAGCGGCATTAGTGGCTGTGGCGTTGGTATTGCGGGTGTCAATGCTGTAGGCGTCGGCGGCTTAGGTTGCATAAGAAAATTCGTTGGTACTAAAGAAATTTTTCCTTGCGTCGCTGATTGAGCACTGGACGTGATTGTGGTTGCTACTTTAGACACGTTGCTGGCGCTGGAGATAATGGTCATGGGACTCGAGACGGGTATAACAATGCTGGACGAGGTTTCAACTAAACGATCCACAAGTGTAGGCTTTGTGGTTGTGTTAGGCACGATCTCGTTATCGTCGTCCGCATCAACATCGATTGGCTCCTCTTTGATTACTGCACTCGCCGAAGTTGTTGTCAGCTTACTCGCTTGATTATGCTTCTGTGTTGTCTTAGTCTTCTCAGCATCAGCCGATTTTCGTTTGCCAACCCTGCACAAAGGAAATTCCTCACTATCCATACTCTCATTTTCCTCTTTTACTTGCACATCAGCCAAATCATTGTCATCCGTACTAGACATTTCCTCCGCGTGCTCTTCATCCAATTCCCTGCACACTTCTGAACTGCCATCACTTGCCTTCGACAACTTACGTCGCTTGGTCGCCGACTTTACGGTTTTCTCAGCGGCGCTTGCAATGGCTGCGAAAGTTTCGTCGTTAATATCAACCTCCACATCGGGTATTATACCGTCGTCAATGTCGGGCTTGGCGGTGGTTTTCCCATTACTCAACGAAACGAGCTCATCCAAACCGTCATCACTTTCCGACACTGTGCCGCCTGAAAATTGACAAAAGTTTAAGAAGTTGTACACAAAAGCGCTCAAAGCCACACTGACCTTCTTCTATTATCTTCTGACGGCGCTCCTCGCGCTCTTCGCGTGCCTTTTCTAGCTGATATTTTAGAGAAGGCGGTGGTACCTCATTCGGGCGCACACTAAAGATCGGTCGCTTCATTATTGCATCCATTTCGGCATAATGTTTCCATGTAGGCTCACCGGCCGATGCCAGACCAGATTCAATTTCTTTCTTTAGACGATTGTAAAAACACTTAAGATTCTTAACGCGTGTACTGATCTCCTCCGGCGAGCGATAATAACCGTATTGTTGCATCTTTGCCGCTAAATCACAGAGTACCGCGTGCTTCTTGTGCGCTATAATGAGTGTGCGCTGCACTTTCGGATCGCCCCAAAGTTGTATGAGCAGTTTTGTTTCATCTGTATCGAAATTGGGATTTCGTCCGATGCTACTTGTCTTTTTGGAACCCGAAATACTATTAAGAACGCGATTCGTGGAGACCCACTGCTCGCCGGAACGTCGCTTCAACTTCAAACGAGCGCTGCTCTTGTGACTCATTTTGTTCGGAACGTGAAAAAGTTACAAGAAAGGGAAATCTAAGACTGAAAATAAAGTGGTAATGGAAGATCAGTTACTATAGTTGGAAGACAGGCGTATGTCAAGACTCTATGAAGAGGTCTGAAAAAACTCACAGTTTTCTAAAACATTTAAAGTAATCAAATTACGAAATAAAAGTACTCTTAAATGAAATCTACCTCGCTTTGCAGTTCTAAGCCATGACTGTGGCCTTGAGGCCAAGAAGTAAAAGAATTCCATTTTCTTACTACTTATAAAACAAATAGCGGTTCACGTCAATTTAGTGTCAACAAACGATATTTTCATAAAAACTGGTATGGAAATCGAACCTAAAAAATAAATAATTATTTATTTCGAAAATTAAACAAAAAATTATAAAAATTCAATATATTGGATGAGTGCATAAGTTCGTGCCCGATTCCGCTAGATGCCGTTCNTCTAATATGAGTACTGATAAGTTATTGCATACCCACAGGCGCTGTACGCAATTAAAATACTTAAAACTTATTTAAACAGTACTTGAAAGAAAATTTGAGTAAAATTTTCAACGGTTAATAGCTTAAAGCTCAGCGAATAACTTTGAATTAATTCAATTAAATAATCTAGAAGTAAAATATTAGATCGTAATAATAGCACCAGATCACAGCTCTATATTCGGTAGGCTGTATATAACTTTTAACTCATTCATAAAATTTTAGATAAATTTAATGCCAAAACGTTCAAAAATGTAGCATAATCCTAGGCGTTTTGAATACTTTATGTGAAAAATTGCAAAACATGAACACATAATTGGATCCAATTAATAGTACAATCAGTTAGTCTTAACCCAAAAGTTCTTACAGCTTAATGTCCTTTTAAACACTTCCACTTCAAAAGCACTCAACTAATTTATGGTTTATTTACATTTAACACCCTCACAAACTCGTACGGGTGCATGATTGTGTGCATACAAAAAGGGGTTTTTACTCTATTACCGGCAAGATAGAGATAAATACATATATATATATATATATGTAAATATGCAGTTCGTAGCTTGTGAAAAGAATCAGCGTAAATGTATGGAAGAGAACGTATAATTCTTTTAAGATACTACAACACCTTACCACCCAGCATTAAAGATTTACAAAAATATTAATTCTCCGTCGCAATGTAACCAAAATTTCTTAAAATCAATAATAACCGAAGCATATGCAAAATACTAAATCGGCACTAAATCAATGATTTTTTTTACTGCATTTACTTATATTCACACACACACACACACACACACACATATATATATGTACGTATTGCTAGAATTCACCTGCCTATTACCGGTTTATCGAGCGCGTGTCCTGTCGGAAAACTCGCTTATGCCCTACTAAACGCAAGCGAATCGGAAAAAGTGACGCACCAAGATTGTTGTAAGTACTGGACCGTTGAGCAGTACAGCGGCTAGGCACAACAGCGCAACTCCGTAGCGTACAATGTGCTGCAATAAACGAGTGCACGCTCACACCCACACCTGCACATTGAGAAAATGTTAGCAACAAAAATAATGAAGGACACAAAAATAACATACAACCCCTAGACAGCAACAACACATAAGCCAAACACCAGCAAAGACACACTCGAAAAGTCTAGCATTCAAGGAGTACGCCTGCAACCGCCCATCCCACCGAAGAAATAGTCAAAACCGTAAACCAGACGTGGTGCTATCACATATGTATATACCTTCCGTTCGTGTGGATATTTATGAACAGCTGAGCTCGTTGCTCAGCAGTTGTCCACTTATGTTGCTTGCGCTCACTCACTCGATTCGTTTCGGTTGCTGTGTTGGATTTGCGAATATGTGTGTGTGGTAACCAAACGGTCGTTGTCGAGTTTTAGGCAATTTATTTCAGTGCAAAACAACTGCACTTAACCAAATCCCTATCGATAATGCTGCTTATTTTACTCACAGTTACACCGTAAATTTAAAGACTACAGCAGCGTGTCTGCGCACATATATTTCAAATTATTTTCAACATTTACGATTAAACTTTGGTTCCTTCCGTACGCGTCGCCGACTCTCTTGTAACTGACGAACATTTCGCTTGTTACGAATTGCTTGAGCTGCTACTGGACATACAACGCATCCGGAGGTGGTGGTGGTGGTGCTAATTCAACGCTATCGTTGTTGTGTTGAAGGGTATGCTCGTGCATTTGGGCTTGTCGAACGACTGGTTTGTTTTCGTATTTAAGTCTACTATTCTGTATAATGTGTAGTGCGCAGCCTGGCATGCGCAGTGGAAACACAAAACATTTGATTTTTGAAATTTGTTGTTGCACCTATTGTTCCTTAGTGCAATTTTATTGATTTATCGCAGATGAATTTCATAATTTACAGCCACGGCCAGAAAATGAAAAGGTGATTCGCTTAGAAATAATATAATTTAAATGATATTAACTGTAAATTGTGTAAGCTAGCGTTACTACATTACATCCTTTGACTACGCACGCAATAATAACTCTTTTGCATATATACGAACTTATATACTATACACGCATGAAGTAAAGGACATAACGTATATCGTAAGGACTATTTTTGCTAAGTTACTAAAATGAAAGTACGGTCCTTTCAATGAAAATAAATTGCTAACGTATATATAATTGGTGATTTGTTACCGTTGAAGCGATTTCCGGCTGAGCTTCCCTCCAATTTGTGGTTTTGCCTCTTGTTGTTTTTCCGCCAAATTTAGAGGCCTACAGTTTATACTAAGCCACCTCCGAACAGCTGATGTTTTTTATAAGGAGCCTTCATTTCATGTCAGAAATACTCTCGGTTGGGGTAACATTCTCTGCCTAGGGGCGACGGAAATTAGAAAATTTAGCTCAATTTTTTATTTAAATTAATTTTCTATAACTTTTTGGATGTTCGTACACCAGGATTTGAAGCCGAGCTTTCCGAATGTAGGTACGCAGTGCTAATCATGCGGCTACCGCGGCCGCCATCTTATGTTACTGACATGGAAAAGGTATTTTCCAATTTTTAGAAAAAGCAAATAATACACATTTGAAGAAAATGGTATATTTAACTGTAAACTCTTTTTATGTATATGCACAATGCCGCTGGCGCTACCAATACTTAGGTGATCAAGAAACTTGTATTCATTGTGATCGGTAATGTGTTGAGCATTCTATCTTTCATGATTTTTTCTTTTTATTTCTCATATTTTTATTTACCTTAAGCTTATCGTGTGGGTCATGCAACTTCCAAGGAATTCTGAAATTAAAAAAAATATTTAAATATTTGAAATTTATTTGTTTATTTATTAAAGTTTACATAACATTTATATAAACTATGGTATTATGCTATGTTTTATTATTCAATAAATAAAATTAAAAAAAAAACAAATATATACATTTATACATACAATAACATATATGTACCTATGTGAATTAATAAAAGTAAAAACAAATATTCCTTTAAAAACACCTTCAATAATAACACTCGAATATAAGCACAAAGCATTACAAACATATTTATAAGCCTACATATAAAATTTCCCACCGTCACCAGCAACTTCTCTGCTAACTCAAATGCAAAAACTTTGCATACACATCCATATGTACAATACATACATACATTACATAGGCCAAATTAAGTCAAGGGTAGTTTATGTGACGACAATAACTCACCAAACGCGCTCACGATTTCCTTGGCACCTACAAAATTATAACAGTAGCATCAACAACAACTTTAGTAACACACGAACAATCAGCAAGCATAAGCAGTCGGTATTTTCAAATACCTTGTACATATGTACCTACAAACAAGTAGCCTGTCTGTCAGTAAACGTAAATCTGCGCATAACATTTTGCTGCACATGCGCAATAATAAGCTACTCACCACTAACCATAGGCTTTTCTTATTCATTTTTTCTTTTATGGGCTTACCCAACATTACCGTCCTGGCAACATGCGCTTGTAAATACAGCTAGCGTCCCTTCCTATCAATGCTCTACCTCGTTTTGAGTTTGTGTGCTGATGTGCGCATGTTAATGGAAAATAAGTCAGTATAGGGGTGGGGATGTGCAATTCTTCTTTTTTTCTTCTTATTTTTGTTCCGCATCGCTTTGATGTCTTTGTACGGGCTAATCTGCATGTGCATATGATTAACCGGTGAATTTGTTTGTTCAGTGGAGTGTTATACTGGTAGCTGAGATGCAAGCAAATATTTGGTTTCATAACATAAATATTTTGCTATTCCTCACACTCAATTAAGCCGAAATATTTTTAAAGCCATTTCGGAATTTTCGCTAAAATATCACATGCACCGGAAAGACTCAATTAATTGGTGAAGACATATTTATGTATGTATGAAGTACTTCAACGATGATTTGTCAATCCGCAACTGTTGTTGTATATACAAGGAAATGTTTGAATGAGATGAAATTGAGTTGATGACTGTATTGGATTTTGGTTTCCCACATATCTAAATTGTTAATGTATACTCAAATTATTAACACCGAAATTTTTTAATTCTCCCGAAATCCATATATTTAAATTAAAATTTAAAGAAAAAATTCAGTTAATCAAAAACCGGAACTGTTAATTTTTCTCGTCATCCGTTAGTATTAGTCTATTACAATGCATTTCTGAGCAATATTGCCAACAAAGAGATTTCTAATATAAATTTGACACTTCAATTTGACATTTGTTTGACAGTTCAAAAAATTGTTCAGTAGATTTTTTATTTGTGCTCTATACCGTGTGTACGAAAACGAAAACAAAGTGCTAAGATGCCTGAATTATCAGCAGCGGAGAAGGATTTTCTGCGTCGCAAACATGAGCAGACATCAAAATTGCGTGCCGAATATTTGAAACAAATATCCAACCCGCACAGACATGCCACGGGCGAAGGTGGCACTTTGGTAAGATTAGTTCGTCTGTCGCATTGTTATGTCATCAATTCTCTAAAGATTTGTTTATGCTGTTATGTTAAAACAATAATATCTTTTTATCTCACAGTTTGATGCCGGTTTGGCACGTTTCCAAGCCATGCGAGTCTCCAATTATGAACACTTTAGGCCAACAGGTGTTGCTTTTCGTGCGGGATTCTTCGCGGTAATACTGCCAATTGCCGTCTACGCTTGGGCGCTGAAATCAGAACGTGATGGACGCGAACAAAAGTATCGCACCGGACAGGTGGCATACAAAGATCGCCAGTTTAAATTCATTTAAATTCCTGATTGTTGAAATGGGCTTAGCGAAAAGAAACGATCATATTTAAAATATGTGCATTATCTTTTATTAATGAGTATACATAGTCTAATTAAAATGGAAACATGAAGAAAAAAATTGCGATTGATATAAATAAAATTCCAGTCACATCTATTTCTCTTCCAATTGTTTATCGCGTGCAATAACAAAATCCTCAAACTTAACCATATACGTAGTGCCTTTATGCCAATGCGCCGACACTTTGCAGGGCTATAACAAAAAATGGAAAATAAGAAATACTATGTTTAATTTATGTTTTTACATGTACGCACAAATCCAGAGTTTTTCAGTACAGCCTCCACAATGCCAGCAGTAAAGTTTGCACAATTGAGTGTGCCTTTATCTTTCGGTACACTTATAAATGTGTTAACCATAGGATCTTTTTCGATTATATAGTAGGTGCATTCATCATCATTTGCATGTTCCAGCTTTTCTGCCTCTTTACCAAATAAACTCTTCCATACAGTTGTTTTAACAAATAATAACATTTGTGTCAATTTTGTTTCACGTCTACCACTGCGTTCACGCATAAAATACAAATCAATAATACGCGAACCAACATCCTGACCAAGCGCATGTAATCTGTTACAGGAGTAATAAAAAAGCTCTTTTAAGATATATTAATTGGTAATTCCAATAGTGCAACTACCTGTTTTGTAGCTCCTGCACCGTGCTCACTTGACTTTGGCTATACTGCACAATTTCACTGAATAGTAGCGCTACAATACTTTGAGAAACTTCAGTTTTACCTTTAGAAAGAGGGCGATCAAGTATATTCGTGCGTGGGCGCATAGAAGATATTTTTAATGCCTCCAATTTCTCCATGATTGACTAAAATAATGATGAAACTTTATGTAGTGTTAAAGGAAATATTTTTTATGATTGACAACAAAAGAAATATTTCGTTTTAATTTGTTTTCGTTCTGTTGGCTTGTCAAACAGCTGTTTAGCTATAGAGCTGCCAAGCCTTTAAAATAAACACACATCTATACAGAATGACAGCAACCGGAAATTGGAAACGAAATGAGCGGAAGCGGGTTAAGTTAAATTTTATGTTATAAATTTTTAAAGTAATCAAGATGCCAGTGTTGGTGGTGGTAGCCCACAATCTTACGATACCTCGAAAACACTTACCTCTATTAATTAATGAGATTCTTTGACGTAATTTGTAGTTGAAATGGTAATTTTAATAAAACATTATCTTATTAAATATTTTAATTCAAATATTTATTTTATTATTCCTTCTTTTTTCATATATTTATTATTATTATGTAGTTTTATGGATTTTTCACCTTTGAAATTATATACTTTTATGTTGTGAATATTTGAATAAAGAGGTGTCTGTTTGTCGATTTTTTTATTAATACATTTTACACATTTAAAAACATTAAATTCCGTGTCTTCACTTTTGTAAGTTGCTGGAATGTCAAACCTTCTTACGTGAGTTATATGTAGTTATGTAAATATTCATACACATACACAACGTTTGCTTAATATCTCAAACATTTCATTTGAACCACTTGGCAAGTTACCAAATATGTCAAATTTCTAGTTTTATTATATTTCTATTAAAATTATTAAAATTAAAATTTGCACATTAATAATTTCAAAAATGTTAGTAAGAATTATATAACAAGTCTGAACAAGAATTATATAACAAGTCTGAATTTTACATAGTCATTATAAACAAGATGAAAATAAATATTTAAAAGACATTAATTTTCTAATAATCAGGACATATTCATATGCACACAAGAAAGAACTAGTATTTCAGTTGGATTTGAACACCTTTAAAATTCAATATAAGCCGAAAGTAAAAAATTTAGCAAACAAAAAAGCGTCTAATACAAATATATTAAAATATTGTTCAAATAAAACCGTTATTGAAATGCTATCATATATATTATGCAAGCGTTTAGTATTAAAAGAAAATTGTTCCAAAATTGTTTGTAATTTCAGTTATGTTTTGTGAATGATACTCGTATTTGTCTACAGCATACAATTTAATCCAAACAAAAGAATAAAATAACAAGAGAACAATAAATACTACTTCCTCACAAAGATTTTCTCTCTGCCGGCACTCATGCCCATCTTCACCTTTGCACTACTGAACCTTTTAATTAACAATGTATTTTAATTAAAATTTTTGCTGAAATAAGCTGCATTTGTTGCTATTTTGCACAACCTCATTTAAATTTGTTCTAATGCATTTATTAGCTGAACTTATTACACCGAACTATTGGCATTTTCTCTCAAATGTCTTTTAATTACCGATATAACCGTTCCTAAGCATTTCCTGTCACCTGCTTCAGCAGCTATATGCCTAGTGTTGCCACACATTTGGTTAATTTACACAAATTTCGTTATATCATTTTTAATTTTCCTTTATTAGTTTTTTAGACATTTTTTATGCATATATTTTTTTGTTTAAATTTACTTAAATACAACAATAATAATAATTATAATAAACACAGTAATTATTTAAGTAATAATCAGAATTAATTATATTTAGTAGTATAATAAATTGTTTTGCTTTGATTTTTTCTTTGCTTCAAAAAATAAAAGTTAGAAAATTTGTTTATGAAATAATATATTTTTGTAGTTGTACAATACTTTCACATGCAATGCAATTTCGTGTGTGTTATTGAAATATTTTTTGTTTTTCTTCACACACACTTTCTTTGTTGCTATTTTTTAATCACTCCTGACTGGTTGCTTATGTGTGTTGATTCAAAACACACATACAGTTAGTAGAACCAATGCCATTTTAGCTTTCTTGCCCTCTTCTTTCCTTTTGTAATCATAATAATATACATATATGTAGGTTTACAATAGCATTATTATTTCAATATATAGTAGCTGCATATTTACCACTTACATTTATAAATTTTTCAACATTTACTTATCATTTATTAGAAGTACGACTTTGTTTTAATAATTTTTGTAATTTATATTTATTTATTATTACAATTAAACATTTAAGCAAAGCATGAGAATCAAATTTTAAGCTTTCATTTTGTAAACTTAACATTTGATTGACAGCTTTTACTGTTTTTTTTTTTATATTTTTTGCACGCGCCTATGCAATCAAATCGCTAATGTTTCATAACCTCAAAGTAATTTTAATGCGAATTTCGCCTACTATATGAGTTTTTTCATACGCTTTAGTAATTGTTAAATGAATGTAAAATGTGTGTTACTCATTTTAAGTCATATTTGTTTACTAATGTAAACAAGTTATTTAAAAAAAAAAAAAAGAAAAAAGGAAAAGAAAAATTCTTTTACAAATTATTTCATAAATGAGTAACACATTTGTATACGTAAAATGAATTAATTACATTAACTAATTAACAAAAATAGTTTTGAGTCTTCATGAGCCCTAAGAAGAGTCAAAATTGTTCTTTTACGCAAACCAAAAAAAAAAAAACAAAAGGATAACCTTAAATTTTCAATATTTAAATTAATTTTTTTTGTTTTGACTGTTTTTGATTTATAATAAAAAAAAAGTTCAAAACTCGCATTACTCTACTTTGCAGGCGTGCATGAGTTGTTTAAGCGCTAATTGCAGAGACGCGTGTTAAACATGTGTACTTACTTATGTATAAATTGTAATTTTGTTTTGTTATTTTTTCACAATTAAATTTTTAATGGAATTTTTATGCTGTTTTTTTTTACACATTTTCACATTTCAAGCTAAATGTCACATTTTCTTGAAACCTTTGCTAAAAGGTTTAAAATGCGACATGCTTAGTTTCATTTTATGTTTGCACATAATTTTTCTTTCTCTTTTATTTTATTTTTTTTTTTTTTTAATTAGCAAATCCAATAATATTTTGTACGCAGAATTTCTCAAGATTTTTTTACTATTCAATTTAGTTTAATTTATTTATTTTTATTTTTTTTGTAAAATAGTAGCGCGACTGTACTATTTTGGTTTAAAATTCTTTTAATTTATTTACTCTTTTCCACAATTCACTGCTTGTAATTTCATTTTGTTAATAGCGAGTGTTTTTATTTTTCAAAATTGGAAATTCGAATGATTTTAGTTATAAGCAATGCACGATGATTTTGCTTGCGAAATTTAAAAAATTAATTTTTCTTAACTGAATTTTAGCTTTATTTTTTTAATGAATTTTAAATTGTAATGCAAATTAAATAGCGCTTATGCTCAATGCTAAAAGCCAATTTTTTAATTTTATCTTCTCAAAAACAAAAAATTTTTAAACAAAAATAAACTCAAAAAAATGATAAAAATAATTTGTAATTCTGAGAAGCAGTGACGACAAAATATTGTAATGTCAATTATTTATAAAAAAAAACATTATTTGTACGTGTATGAAATGGAAAAAAAAAACACATTTTTATATACCTTTTTTTTAATTAAAAAAAAAACACATTTTTATATACCTTTTTTTTAATTAAAAAAGAGTGGAACTAAAGCGTGTATCAAAAGAAAGGTATTCTTCTACCTAAGATTAGAAAGCATGTTGGTTTTGTACATTTAACGTCACGCTAATATCTGTTTCAAATTTTCTTTTCATTTTCATTTTTTATTTTTTTTTTTTCAATTTACTGTTCATGCAATATTTTGGTTTTTCTCAAGCAGTTTGTGCTCGTTTTACAAAACGTGTTTTCTTTTAATTCTATTTTGTTTTATTTTACTCAAGTGAATTTTACATCATTGTAAGAACAGCTTTTCTTGTAATTTTTCCATTTTGGCTTGTACTATTAATATTTAAAAAAAAAAATCGGTTTTTTTAGTAATACTTGTATTGTGTCTTAAATATATTAGAGAGCAAACAATCATAAGTGGCACATTTGTATAAATTATATAAAAATATTCTAAAAATATATATGTATATTACACATTAAAAAAAAAACCAGAAAATAAAAATAGATTTAAGTAAAGTTATATGTATGTTATAGGCTTGTTTACACGTAAATTATTTATTTACAACTTAAAATTAAACTTCAAGTCGGTGGCTTAAAAAGAAAAATACTTGAACTTTTTCAAAAACTGTACATAATCTTGATTTGATATATATAGATACACATTTGTTTATATGTACATATAATAGTAAGTTATTTACAAATTAGTAATTAATGCATATACACAAAAAAAAACCGGAAATTAATTTGTTTCTTCTTGTGGCCAGATAGTGACGTCTATGCTGGAAGTTGGAAATGGATCTCAAAGCGTTTTCGCACAGAAATCATCTGTACAAGCAAATGTTATGAAAATTGATTTATGAGTTTTTGATTTAGTAATTATAGACTATAATTCAATATAACAATAAATAACGGTACAATGCTCAAACAAAGTCACGAAAAATTTGAGCCCGAAAAACCTTTCATGCAACTCTTCGCAACTATATTAGGCATTTCTGAAAATAAGGTAAAAAGAAATGCATTCAATTTGCTTCTAAAAAGTTGAACAGACAACCATAAAAATTTGTGCTCTTTTCCTTTGTGCCAAAATACAAATATATATATATATATAAGTTTTTTGAACTAAACATACAAAGCGGATTAATTTAGAAAACCAAACGCCCATAATCATTCTGTTGTGCTGCAGGTCTTGCTTGCTGCAGGGCGTAATGTACAGGCGTTTGCAAATGATTTTGTGCTTTAAATTTGCGCCTTCTCTCCTTCTTTTGCTGTTTCAATCTTTGTTTGTGTATTTTCTCTTGTTCCTTAGCTATTTTAGCGTCATCGCTAAGATGCCATTGCTCGAATTGTCGTGTTAATGTGCTGCTGCCCCCAGAGTTGGTTGTCTGCTGGCGCTGCAGCTTTATTGGTTGTTGTTGCTGCTGTTGTTGTTGCGGTTGTTGTTGCTGTTGCTGTTGCGTTTGCGATTGTTGCTTCTGTTTATGTTGATTGTTGGTATTATAATTATAGCTATAATTATTGTAATTGTAGTAGTTATAGTTGCTGTAGTTGTTTTTGTAGTTGTAGCTATCATAGTGATCATCGAAATCCCCAATGCAGCTACTATCATAATCATAACTATCTGAATTCATAATATCAGCTTCCACCTCATAGCCGTAAACGTAGCCTTTGTCGAATTGTTGTTGCAATCGTCCCTCCAAATGTCAGACTTGTGGTTTGTGTCGACCGCCGCACATGCCGCATGATACTCCCACCATATGACAGGCGCGCAACGGCGGATAACACCAAAGGCAGGGTACGCAGAATGATAGCATCGTTAGACCGAACCAGCTGCGGAAGAGAAAAGGTGTTATATTGTAATTCATGTCGACTTGTGGTGGCGCTTCATGAACTTACCGCTTACTACAGCCCGCTTCGTTGACGCACTGACATGGATGTTGTGGCGTCTCACCCTCAGCATCGCTCATACAATGGTACAACATGCAACGCGCACAACCCATACCGGAAACACACTCGATTGTCGAACGAAAGCGGTCGGGCGCAAATTCACAGGCACCCTTCCGATTGCACTCGTCATTGTAGATGTCGTGACAATAGCGACAACGTGTACGTTGATTCTTCTTCATAATGTCCACATTACTGATGGGCTCCTTGAGTATCACACCCGCGGCAATGGGTGACGATTGAGCAGCGGCCAATGCTTGTGCGGCTTCCAAAGCGTTGCGTTTCTTCAGTGCGCTTATCGACTCTCGACGTGCATTTAACACTTGCGCCCCAGCTGGCTGATCGACAACCGGGTAATTGTAATCATGTACCTGTTGGGCGGAAACGCAAAGCAATCAAGCGGAAATAAAAAGAAAAATGAAGAAAGTAAACAAAGTGGTAGAGTAGAGTTGTGTGTGGAAGTTGGTGGAGGGAGGAGGCAAGAGTTGAGTAAGAAAAAATAAAAAAAAAACAACATTAATTTAACTGCCAACACACATATTGAGCTCATTACCGCTGTTAGCTGCACATAAGAGTAATTTTCGCTAGTCACAATAGCTGTTGGTAGCGACGGCGGTGGCGCTTCAAGTTGACACGACGAGACGGTGGTGATTGGCGGCGTTACAATCGCAGCGCTTCCGGTGGTGGTAGTGATAAGGTTACAATTACTATTATGACTGCCATTATTGTTGTTTCCATTGCCATTGCCATTGCCATTCCCGTTACCATTACCACCGCCAGCTGCGGACAGTGAGGGTGGTGGTGGCGGTGCTTGTAAGCTGCATGATTTCTCGTTCGATATGTAGTGAATGGTGGCCTTGGGTTGTTGTTGTGCGACATTACCATCCGAAAATTTGTCCAAATCGCTTTTGTTGCTAATGCGTTCACCTAGATCGACAGTAATACTCTCTGTTGATTGGGTAAAAAAAAAGTGAACGGTATTAAATTTAAAAAAAAAAAAAAAGTGGATGAAAAATGGATGTACATACTGTGACTTTTGTCGCTGCCTTCGGGACTTGTGTGTGGCCTTTGTATGCACTCAGCTTCGATAGGTAGATCTAAGGTCTATCGGGTGGAATGTAAATGGATTTTTTTTTTTAATTTTTAACAACAAAATTATTTATTTATTATTATTATTATTTATTATTATTTTCGGTCGTTATTAATTATCTATTACTCACCATAAAAACATCGTCTTCACCGACTGAATCGTATTTGTTGAGTGGCGGACATATTATTGATGGATTAGATTTGGCCAGGCCTAAGGAGGATAAAAATATAAATTATTTAAAAAGTATTTAATACTTTTATTCTCATTTTTTTAATTAGTACATTTTCTTAAATAAATTGACTCAACAAAAAAATTAATTTAAATTAAATTAATTTAAACGAACACAATGTAAGCATAATAATTTAAACTTTTAAGAAAAACTACTTTTGTGTATTAGTTTCAAAATTAAAAAGAAAGAGATTTATATTCAAGTAGCAAAACTCTAAATAAAAAGCGACAATGGAAGAAAGCTACGACTGTAATGTAATATGAGGCGCTCTGAGATTTTTCATTGAGGATTAAACTCTCTTAAGGCCGCTAATGGAAATCATTAACAATTTTTGGTACACAATATCTTAGCACTTATTATTCTAGGGAAGGGCAAAGCATTCAAAACTCAAATCTCTAAAAATTTTTATACAAAATTTGACTTACCAAAACATGAATTTTGATTGTTGTAAATTTTTTTTAGTTTTACGTTATTTTTCGAATTTGTCGCATGAATTTTGATTATTCGTATTATTTTATGAGTTAATGCATTTATCCCAATTATTTTTTATTTTAGTTTTGTTTCGAAGAGATTAAAAAAGATAAAGAGAGAGAGAGAGAGAGAGAGAGAAAATGGCAATCGAATCAGAAATCAAACCAAATACATAGCAGATGAAACGAAAGAAAAATTTTCTTATTTTTTTCATTAAAAAAAAAATTAAAAGATGGAATTTAGTGATTTTTTAACTACATGATTTACATATGTATTTGTATGTATGTATAATGATCACAAAGAAATATGAATTAGGCGAAATGGTTTGAGTAAAAACATATATACATACATATGTATGTATTATATGCACCTAAACATTGGTAAGGTTCGATCATTCAACTCGCTGTTTTCCCTCAGGTGGACCTACAAAAAGTGGTACGTCTCATCTTCCAATATGTTCAAGTCATTTACTGCGTTTTATGAAACTCACGATGCTCGCTGAAGATTCTTGCTGAAACAAGACCTCATCTATTTTCCAGCAGCTGAGGCAGAAGACATTAAAGAAATAACCCAGACAAAGACCGGTTGTTTGCTAATGGAGGTGCCCAACTGGAGTATAGACTTTATTATCTTCTACGATCAATGAAAGCGGCTTCTATCATTGCAGTCAGTTTTGTTTGAAAGACGATGCAGTGATCGGGATGTCTCTTGTTAAACTGTTAGATTCGCCTAATCATTCCTCTCAGGGATGTTTGTAGAAAAAAGAAGGAAAGAAAAAGAAATTGTCGAAAAAGAAAACTGGGTGGTGGGGTCCACATCTTGCGGGAATTGGCCTAGATTTTCATATTCGGTTGTCTCCTATGTAGCGATTTTGGCATTACAGTTTTCAAGCAATTTTCCATACCAGTCTGACGGGAGATGATTAACGATAATTTCAAGAGTTTTCGTAGGAGTTAAAGTCAGCGTATGCTACTATGTCACAACCCGTTCTTCTTTGCTTATGAAACAACGTGGTACCAGTGTCTCTTTTGGCGTATCTGTTTATGCCTGCGCCTCCTAATTCCCAATACTAATTAGATAGATTTCACGAGTTTCTTTAAACTCGTTTCTCGAACTGCAGTCGCGAGTATCTCGGTTGAGACGTGATTAAAAGCCTCTCAACAGAAAGGAAGACGCCTAGTGTGTAGTCTTTTCTTTGAAGACTAAATGTTTCTCAATTATCGTCACAATATCATGAAGAATGGTGTTTGCAGGTTTCCTCTGATTACCAAGTAGGTTTTCTCATACAAAGCTCACTTTTCCTTAATTCGCTAAAGGAGAGACAGGCGGGGCGTGATGCCTATCGTTCTCTGTATTTCCATATAAGCCCGGGTTTGCTTTTTAATCTACTACTTTACTACTAGCTTTTGTTTATAAATATTAAATATGTATGTGTTAAGAGGAAAATTGTTAATTGAGGTAAATTAAGGAAATCAAGCATTAGTAATTTATTTTTAGTAATAGAAAATATGCCAAATAAATGAAAAGAAAAACCATAAACGAAATGCAACAAAGGAATTGCAGGCTGGACAAACCAGTGTATGCATGCACTTTATTGTTGTTGTTTGTATTGTTATGTGCTTCCGTCTTTTTTTTTGTTCTCTTTTTTTTTTTTGTTTGCGCTTTAGCAATTACAACTGCATTGCGCCAGCGAGTGATAATTACCATCAATTAATTCATTGTAGGCGCGCAATACGCCTTTGTCGAAGGCGCGCGCATCGGCAGCCGTTTGAAAAGTGAGACCATTGCGTTGTTTACTAGCACGCCAGTGATGAAATGTGGGCATCACTTTATAATACTTCAGATCACGATTTATGGCACAGCTTAAAATAACCTAAAACACACAAAAATAGTATATTTTCATAGTTATTATTAAAGAAGAAAGAAATTGACAATTGTTAGCAATGTTGCGATAAATAATTATTGACAATTAAATGTATCGATAAATCTTTGTCCGCAGATTTGTTGCAGATTTCGCGTCGAAGCAATGATTAATTCTTTGTTTTTGGTTTTGAAGTAATAAGCTTGAGCGTTTATTTAATTATTTTAAAAGTTAAATTTTTTGTTTTCATTTATTTTCATAGAAAATTCTAGCCTTAAAAATATTTCCATTTTTATTTGCATTAGAACTAATAAATTTTCACACTTTAATATAATATTGCCTTGTGAAATCGAGCTCGTGCAAGAATTGAAGCCGATCGGCCATCAAGCACGTCGTCTGGGCCAAAAAGGAGATGGTCACTGAATATTTTGTTCTGCGAGGAAGATCAATATTGTTTGAATGGATACGTTAGTAAAGAAGATTCTAAATAATGGCTCGTGAAGTAATGATAATTCACGAGCCATTATTTAGAATCTTTGGACCATATTTCTTTAAAAATGAAGGAAGTCAAAATATTACGGTCAATGGAGAACGTTACTTGGTCGTGATTAATAACTTTTTCATCCTGAATGGGAGGATGCTGATGTGGACGGCCTTTGAGCCCATATTGTGGCCTTCAAGATCCAAGCAATCTACCATAAATCTGTGAAATCGCATGCCTGCACAGATAAGCTTAAAACGTTTGAAACCTTGAAAGTCAATATTCGCGGTATTGCTTACATATGGCACTAACAGGCCGCAAAAACCTCAACCTCTCGACTGGAATTTATTCGAGCAAGCCACGACGGTCACTTGTCCGAAATCTTTTTCAAAACATAATGGCAAACCCTTATCTATGTATATAATGTAATAAAGCTAAATTCTTGGGAATAACAAAATAAATTATATGCGTTTTATTTTTGCTTGAAAACCACTTGTCGACAGAAAAAAAATATAAAAATTCTTTATAACTTACACTTTGATCAGAGATTCTTTGGCCATAGATAAAATATTCAGGTCCAGTAGCGCCAGGGGATAGTCTAGGACGTCTGCGTATTGAAACGTTCGCCAAACCACCCCCGGCGAGTGGTATCCAACCCTCGGTTGTTTCGTCTCTGGTCATAACCTGTGCGCGTACTGTAACTATGGAGTCGCTGTAATATAGAGAAAGGCAATTATTTACTTTAAATAAATTATATGGATGTATGTCTATAGTGATAACAATAATAAATATTAAAGAAATTGAAAATGTCACTCTTTGTGAAGAAAAATCGATTGAACGCTATGTAAATTTGCACAATGCAATTTAGTTTTATCGAATTTATCGATAACTACTTTTGACACAATCCAATCCAATATATTGAATTGGTGGTGAATATTCATTACTAAATCTACACCAACTAATCACATTACTTTTTTTATATAAACAAATGCTTCATAAAACAAACAAACGATTTTCTAAATAAAAGCCCTTTGAGCCTTTTAAAGCCGCAGCTGCAGCTAAGAATAACGTTGGCAGCTTGGCAAGGAATTATCGACAGCCTTCAACGGTCAGCAGCACATTTGTTGTTTATTATAACTATGTCCTTCCATTGGCTGCACAAACGTATAGAAACATACAGAGACATAAGCAAAGTAAAATAGTGAATTGTGGAAAAAATGCAAAGGAACAGGTGGCAGCGAGACACTGCAGTGCGGTTGAACAAGTTTCTGGCGAAATGATTTGTTTTTGTTTTCATTTTCAAATACATACATACATTTTTTTTTGAAGTTTTGGAGTATGCGCTGAAGTGACGAACTCCCTTTCAATAAATACATACGTGTACATATATACATATATATTCGTGTCTGCATGACTTCCTGTCACTTTCGTACGTCCTGCACAAACTAGAATAAGTTACATACATACAGACATAAAGTACAACTTCAAAACTCTCCAGCTGCAAAATAATACCAAAAAACACACACATATACAAACATAGTTAATGAAGCGTTTGCAAAGAGAGCACAAACGAAGGAAGTTCGTGTTATTGCGCAGCAACTTTATGAATGGAGTTTTCGTATTTTTATATCCATATATATGCGTGAATGTACACACCGGATACAGAACAACAAACTTCGTTTCACTTTGATAATGGCATTGGCAATGTGTCACTCAATGGAATTTGGCTTAGCCGCGCAACGGATTGCCAAGTCTTCCGCTGTTATTATATGTGTGTGCGTGTTTATATTAATGATTTCCTTATGGCCTTTCAAGGATTTTCATAAAATTGTTTCAATGAAACTTCAATGCAGTAGTGTATAACCCCTCAATGGGACATGAGAATTTCAAAAGTGTTGGTTATGAATGGAGAGACAGAGTATGTAGGAGAAAATTATGTTTGGCCGTGTATGTATGTACATTCGAGCTTTTAGTGGCTGTTATTATTGGCAATACATGAAAAGTACCAACTAACGTTTTAGTGTAGTCTGTATAGTATTAAACAGGTTGCTAAAGAGAGAAGGCAAAAGAAGCAACATTTAATGATTTTAAAGCGAACCATGGTGCTGCGAGATACGCAAACATGAAAAGGAAAGCAAGACACGGGCATAAACCGTAATCGAGAAACCGAGATGCGTGAGTATGAAAAGCATGAGAAACAGGCTGAGATGATCGGGTACCTCGAGAAAACCCTATGGAAAAACTATCAACCCACCGAGACCGGAGTATTAAGATGTAATATCGGAGTATTAAGATATAAGACTCGAAGAGGTTATCTAACAACTGATGCTTAAAGTTTACGGAATTTTTAAAGGAAACGTTTTGAATGAAGAAGAAGATTTAAGTGGTTTAAATTGACGAATTATGGGCTGAGCCATTCAGATATGACAAAGCTCATGTATCAGCTTCTTTACAAAATTTGGACGAAGACCTCAACTTAAGTGCGCACCGCACAGTTCACCAAAACCCTGACAATCTGCGCCATTTATCATGAAATAAGCCTCCTCTACCTTATCCAGCATACTGTGTGGGCATCAACGCACCGATTAGACCTTATCAGTGTGGCTTCAGACCTAATATGCCCCTCATTGACCAGTTATTTATCAGGTGCTAAATTTTGGAAAATATATAATTGGCGCTTTGTAGCCGGTGAAGCGATTCCGGGCGAGCTCCACCTTCAATTTGTGGTTTTGCGTCTTAATGTTTTCTTATCAAAATGGAGGAACCTACTACAGTTTATACTAAGCCGCTTCCGAACGACTGATGATTTCTTTATGAGGAGTTTTTTATTTTAATGTCAGAAATACACTCGGAGGGGTTGGCACTACCTGCCGAGGGGCGACTGCAATTACAAAATTTAACTTACTTTTTTATATAAATTAATTTTAATGAAAAAAAAATATATTTTAAGTACATGATCATCGAGAAAACTTATTTCGCTGTCCAGAATTTATATTTTCTTCTTACCTCAAAATATTCACAATGATCGATAACCTAACATACTCGATGAAACGGAAAATGTATTACTAACTGACAGCTCAACCTACCGAGGCTTGGTGAAATTGGACCAAATCCTCACCTATTGTCTTATAAATACTATTTCATTCATTACATGCACGTTTTTTGTTTGCACTTACAAATGTACGTGTATAGCGGATAGTGGGCGGGTACCTAGGTAATGTCCCTGATAATAAAATCAATGCCAAGCGAGAAGGTAGTAAAGGTATTGCTCAATGATAAACTACGTACTTGTCCATATGCACATACATACATATGTACATATATTGTACATAGATGAGCTGCATATAGAAATTTCAGAATGGGCTAGCCGCCTTGCCACTGCTGAGCTCATCATACATAGCTTCATGGTCATAGTCCCAACCAATTTATTATATACCTAAATTCATTTTTATGTATATGGGTAAATGTGTATATGCATTTAGGAGCTTTGAGTTGTGGAAATCATCAATGAAAAAATAGTTGAATGAAGAAATAGTAATAATTAATAGAAACTATTTGCACAAATATTTACATACTCGTATGTGCATACATACATATATATTTCTATTTCGTAAGCCATTTAGTTTTTAATAAACATTGAAATTTTAATAAAAAGGACTAGTGATTTGCAAATAGAAAATGGTATAGCAACAATTCATTCCGTAAGGCAGAAACATTCATTAATATTACATCAGCAAACAGTATGAATGCCTCTGATCTACCAGCATATTTTATAAGAAATTTTGTAAAAAAAAAAAAATAAAGATGTAATTTAAAAAATTTCCTGACAGCGGTGGGATTCGAACCCACGCCCTTTCGGACTGGTGCCTAAAACCAGCGCCTTAGACCGCTCGGCCACGCTGCCTTCCAATCATATTCTGTCCAATGTCAGTTTTCAGCGTAACGTCGAGTATACACCAGCCGAACAACTAGAACATTACATATATACACATACGTTTACAAATGTACACGTCAAAGCATGTATGTGCAAATACTTTGTCGGCAAACGCCGTTTTTGAGCACACGAAGGTCACAACGAACGTATGCACTGCCAACGAACGAACGTATAGCTGGTATACGACTATTGTGAATGGTAAGCATAGCAGTGCTTCCGCCGAGGAAATTCATTCACGGCACTGGGCATACGGCAATATTAGAATGAATGAACGTTGTTTGGGGATGTAAAGAGCAGAGTTGTTGAGGGAGCGCACGATTTTCGTTGATGGGCGAATGATAAGGTAATAAAATAGTGTGCATTTTATGTAATGAATGAATGTTTATTTAAACATTTTATTATTTTTTTTGCTACATATTTTGAAATTGGTTGGAAAATTTATATAGAAAACAGATAGTTTATAAATTGAAAATTATTTTATTATTATTATTTTATTATTATTATTATTTTATTATTATTATTATTTTATTATTATTATTATTTTATTATTATTATTATTTTATTATTATTATTATTTTATTATTTTTTTATTCATTTGTTTCTTAGGCAAAAGATTTTACCTCTAATTATTATTACATTTCTTCGATTTGTCATGCATATAGCGCATATCGATGATAAACATGTCAATCGATTTTTTATATGCATCGTGAAAAAATTTGTTTTAAATTATGATTTCACAGAAAAGTTTATTTGATATTTCTGCAACTGCAGTGTTGAATACCTAAAATCGCGCTCAATGCAGAGCAGCTGAGATATGGCATAGTCGGAAACAAACAAATCGTGTCGTATTGAAATATATTCTCCTGCATGACAGAAGGTCGAGAGTGAAAGGCATACAAAGGAGGCGCCACGTGTTTTATTTTGTGACACTCATGGACTTGTCTAATTTCAGGACTGGTGTTTTAAGCAAACAAAACTAAGAAAATAAATGAAATACACATTTGCCAAAACCTTATGGCAAAGTCTGTTACACTCGGTGTGCAGACTTATCGTGAAAATTGGCAAGATGTTGTCAAACAAGACAAACAAAATGGCAAAAAAGAGATTAATTAGCTAAAAACATAAAAAAGATAAATTAAAAATATAATAAAAAAAATTGAATATATAAATTAAAATATAAATAAAATATACAAGACAAGAGTAGTTAAGTTTAAATTTTAGAATATGATAATAATATCCTACGGTTAGGGCACAACTAAATTGATTATGAAAAACTAAATTTTTATTTTTAGCTCATTTCCCCCTTCATCACCAAATTTTGATTTTTAAATGTGTATGTTTTATTTTTAATGCTCTTTTAAATTTTGAATCGATATTTATAATTAGTTTTCATCGACTTTAATTGAATTGCGCTATTTTTACAATTAATGAAAATTTTTAACCTTCCCTCGTGCCTTCAACGTTAACTTCCAGCAAATCAATATTAATGAATAAAGGCAAAATGTGCTGTGCGCCAGAAACCGCTTCGGCAAGGGCTCAGCAAGTTGCTGAGAGAGTTGTTACATTGGAAGTATGTATGTATTATATATACCATACACATAAATATAAATATATGTATAAAGAATATAAAATACCTGTGTTCGTACATATCAATGTGAGCATGTTCACGCGAATTGCCTGAATGAAATTCTTTCAACATTATATGTGCATACCCTACGTATATATGTATGTATGCTTATTCACGTCCGGCTGTTTAGATTGCAACTGTAATAGCGTTA